CGTTTCAGTAACGTATGTTTTTGTTAATGTTTCCATTCGTGCAAAAACACCATATAGTAGCGGAATCTACTGGCAATTTGTTTTTGAATGCATCCCAATGAAACAATCCCCAGGAGATCACTGGCAAATTCCCTGGCTACTTATCTCCATCTGCCGGTTTGAAGTTCGCCGATGTGCCTAATGGTTTGGCTGCCATCTCAAAGGTCCCAGCAGCAGGACAGGGTTTCAAACTGGCTGTGAAAATCAAAACCGAATAATCACATATAATCGGTGATACTTGGTGGATATGTTTGTGGAGACAGTAATTATAAACGTAATTATATGATAGAATTATATGTAACTCATTATCCCTAAACATACATAACATGTTGTTTTGATGATCTATGTGATTTTATTTAGATGCCCACTATTGAAACCTTGGAGGATGGGGTCAGATCTTGGCCTACATGGCCTTCTGCGAAGTTTCCCAGGATCAGTCTGCTGGAACCCCTGCTGCCGCAGGCGACTTTGGATTCAAGGTGTTGACCTCTTCCGACCCTGCTGAGAAAACCAAGAAGCTCAGTGCCGAACTTGCTAACGGAAGACTGGCGATGATGGCCATCATTGGTATGTTTTTCCAGGCGAGATGGGGTGAATGGCGTCAGTGACCTTCGGGAATATGCGTCAGCTGCGTCAGTTGCACGAACAGCCGGATTTTTCTTTGGCGGGTTGAACAGTCGCGGTTTGATGTCATGTCAAGACTCCGGTGCCGCATGCCCCTGCATGTATGCATATATGTATATATGTATATATGTATGTATGTAATGTCTGTCTGTCTGTATGTCTGTATGTCTGTATGATCTGTATGTCTGTATGTCTGTATGTCTGCCTGTCTGTATCTCTGCCTGTCTGTATGTCTGCCTGTCCGTATGTCTGTATGTCGGTATGTCCGCATGTCTGTATATATGTTTTGTCTTTAATGTATGTCTGTATATGTAATGTCATTTCATGTCATGTCATGTGATTTGGTGTAATGTATTGTAACGTACTGTACTGTAATGTAACGTACTGCAATGTAATGTAATGTCATGTCATGTTATGTCATGTAATCCTATCTAATGCATTGTAATGCAATGTCGCGTAATGTAGTGCAATGTAGTCTACAGTAATGTAATGTAATGTAACGCAGTGTAATGTAATGTAGTGTAATGATGTGTAATGTAGTGTGATGTAATGTCATGTGATGCGACGTGATGTAGTGTAATATAATACAATGGAAAGGAAAGGAATGGAAAGGAATGGAATGGAATGTAAGGTCATGTAATGTGATGTGATCTCATTCAATGTGATGTGATGTTATGTTAAGTCTTGTATGTAATGTGATGTGATATGGTGTAACGTGATGTGGTGTAATATGACGTAATGTAATGTAAGGTATGGGATGGCAGGAAATAGTATGGCATCGTATTGTATTGTACTGTATTGTATTGTGTTGTATTGTATCGTATTCTTGTCATGTATCCTGAAGTATTCAATGTATGTAATGTATGCTATGCATGCAACGTACGCAATGTATGAAATGTAGCACTGTATGCAATGTATGCACTGTATGCCATGTATGCAATGAATGTTTGGTGTGGTTTTGCAGTGGGGTTTGGTGTGTGGTTTTGTGTGTGGTACGGAATGTGCTATGAAATGTGGACTGGTATATGGTATGGAATGTGGTATGGAACATGGTATGTGGTATGGTAGGTGTATGGTGTGTGGTATGGTATGTTGTATGGTATGTTGTATGGAATGTTGTATGGTATGGATTGGTATGGCATGCATGGAATAAATTTCACGCATGTAATGCATCCAATGTATGTAATGAATGTAACGTATGTGATGTATGCAATGTATGTAACGCATCCAATGTATGTAATGAATGTAACATATGCGATGTATGTCATGTAATGTACTGCATCCAATGTATGTAATGAATGTAACATATGTGATGTATGTCATGTAATGTGCTGCATCCAATGTATGTAATGAATGTAACATATGTGATGTATGTCATGTAATGTACTGCATCCAACGTATGTAGTGAATGTAACATATGTGATGTATGCCATGTAATGTACTGCATCCAATGTATGTAATGAATGCAACATATGTGATGTATGTCATGTAATGTACTGCATCCAATGTATGTAATGAATGTAACATATGTGATGTATGTCATGTAATGTACTGCATCCAATGTATGTAATGAATGTAACATATGTGAAGTATGTCATGTAATGTACTGCATCCAATGTATGTAATGAATGCAACATATGTGATGTATGTCATGTAATGTACTGCATCCAATGTATGTAATGAATGTAACATATGTGAAGTATGTCATGTAATGTACTGCATCCAATGTATGTAATGAATGCAACATATGTGATGTATGTCATGTAATGTACTGCATCCAATGCATGTAATGAATGCAACATATGTGATGTATGTCATGTAATGTACTGCATCCAATGTATGTAATGAATGCAACATATGTGATGTATGTCATGTAATGTACTGCATCCAATGTATGTAATGAATGCAACATATGTGAAGTATGTCATGTAATGTACTGCATCCAATGTATGTAATGAATGCAACATATGTGATGTATGTCATGTAATGTACTGCATCCAATGTATGTAATGAATGTAACATATGTGAAGTATGTCATGTAATGTACTGCATCCAATGTATGTAATGAATGCAACATATGTGATGTATGTCATGTAATGTACTGCATCCAATGTATGTAATGAATGCAACATATGTGATTTATTTCATGTAATGTACTGCATCCAATGTATGTAATGAATGCAACATATGTGAAGTATGTCATGTAATGTACTGCATCCAATGTATGTAATGAATGCAACATATGTGATGTATGTCATGTAATGTACTGCATCCAATGTATGTAATGAATGTAACATTGTGATGTTGTAATGTAATGTACGCATCCAATGTATGTAATGAATGCAACATATGTGATGTATGTCATGTAATGTACTGCATCCAATGTATGTAATGAATGCAACATATGTGATGTATGTCATGTAATGTACTGCATCCAATGTATGTAATGAATGCAACATATGTGATGTATGTCATGTAATGTACTGCATCCAATGTATGTAATGAATGTAACATATGTGAAGTATGTCATGTAATGTACTGCATCCAATGTATGTAATGAATGCAACATATGTGATGTATGTCATGTAATGTACTGCATCCAATGTATGTAATGAATGTAACATATGTGAAGTATGTCATGTAATGTACTGCATCCAATGTATGTAATGAATGCAACATATGTGATGTATGTCATGTAATGTACTGCATCCAATGCATGTAATGAATGCAACATATGTGATGTATGTCATGTAATGTACTGCATCCAATGTATGTAATGAATGCAACATATGTGATGTATGTCATGTAATGTACTGCATCCAATGTATGTAATGAATGCAACATATGTGAAGTATGTCATGTAATGTACTGCATCCAATGTATGTAATGAATGCAACATATGTGATGTATGTCATGTAATGTACTGCATCCAATGTATGTAATGAATGCAACATATGTGATGTATGTCAAGTAGTGTACTGCATCCAATGTATGTAATGAATGAAACATATGTGATGTATGTCATGTAATGTACTGCATCCAATGTATGTAATGAATGCAACATAAATGATGTATGTCATGTAATGTACTGCATCCAATGTATGTAATGAATGCAACATATGTGATGTATGTCATGTAATGTACTGCATCCAATGTATGTAATAAATGCAACATATGTGATGTATGTCATGTAATGTACTGCATCCAATGTATGTAATGAATGCAACATATGTGATGTATGTCATGTAATGTACTGCATCCAATGTATGTAGTGAATGCAACATATGTGATGTATGTCATGTAATGTGCAGCACCCAATGTATGTAATGAATGTAACATATGTGAAGTATGTCATGCAATGTACTGCATCCAATGTATGTAATGAATGTAACATATGTGATGTATGTCATGTAATGTGCTGCATCCAATGTATGTAATGAATGCAACATATGTGATGTATGTCATGTAATGTACTGCATCCAATGTATGTAATGAATGTAACATATGTGATGTATGTCATGTAATGTGCTGCATCCAATGTATGTAATGAATGTAACATATGTGATGTATGTCATGTAATGTGCTGCATCCAATGTATGTAAGGAATGTAGCATATGTGATGTATGTCATGTAATGTACTGCATCCAATGTATGTAATGAATGCAACATATGTGATGTATGTCATGTAATGTACTGCATCCAATGTATGTAATGAATGCAACATTGTGATGTATGTCATGTAATGTACTGCATCCAATGTATGTAATGAATGCAACATATGTGATGTATGTCATGCAATGTACTGCATCCAATGTATGTAATGAATGCAACATATGTGATGTATGTCATGTAATGTACTGCATCCAATGTATGTAATGAATGCAACATATGTGATGTATGTCATGTAATGTACTGCATCCAATGTATGTAATGAATGCAACATACGTGATGTATGTCATGTAATGTACTGCATCCAATGTGTGTAATGAATGCAACATATGTGATGTATGTCATGTAATGTACTGCATCCAATGTATGTAATGAATGTAACATATGTGAAGTATGTCATGTAATGTACTGCATCCAATGTATGTAATGAATGCAACATATGTGATGTATGTCATGTAATGTACTGCATCCAATGTATAAGAATGACAAAAATGTGATGTATGTCTGTAATGGCCAATGTATGTAATGCCATGTATGTACATATGTGAAGTATGTAAATGTGATGTATTATGTAATGTACTGCATCCAATGTATGTAATGAATGCACCATATGATGTATGTATGTATGTAATGGATGCACATATTGAATGTTAACATATGTGATGTATGCATGTACTGCATCCAATGTATGTAATGAATGCAACATATGTGATGTATGTCATGTAATGTACTGCATCCAATGATGTAAGGAATGCAACATATGTGATGTATGTCATGTAATGTACTGCTTCCATGAGGTAATGAATGCAAACATATGATGTATGCAATCCATAGGTGAATGATGATATGTCATGTAAGGTACTGCAAGTATGTAATGAATGCAACATACGTGATGTATGTCATGTCAATGTACGCATACATGTGTTTGTAATGATGGCAACATATGTGATGTATGTCATGTAATGTACTGCATCCAATGTATGTAATGAATGTAACATATGTGAAGTATGTCATGTAATGTACTGCATCCAATGTATGTAATGAATGCAACATATGTGATGTATGTCATGTAATGTACTGCATCCAATGTATGTAATGAATGCAACATATGTGATTTATTTCATGTAATGTACTGCATCCAATGTATGTAATGAATGCAACATATGTGAAGTATGTCATGTAATGTACTGCATCCAATGTATGTAATGAATGCAACATATGTGATGTATGTCATGTAATGTACTGCATCCAATGTATGTAATGAATGTAACATATGTGAAGTATGTCATGCAATGTACTGCATCCAATGTATGTAATGAATGCAACATACGTGATGTATGTCATGTAATGTACTGCATCCAATGTATGTAATGAATGTAACATATGTGATGTATGTCATGTAATGTACTGCATCCAATGTATGTAATGAATGCAACATATGTGATGTATGTCATGTAATGTACTGCATCCAATGTATGTAATGAATGTAACATATGTGTTGTATGTCATGTAATGTACTGCATCCAATGCATGTAATGAATGTAACATATGTGGAGTCTGCTTTGTCAGTGCGGGTTTGCCCACAGCTTGTTGCCAGGATGGCTTGACAGGAAGCGCCTGGGGTGACTGGGCCAACTACACTGCTTCGCCTTTGCGCTGAATAGACAAACCTGTGCGGCTCTGGACAAAAGATATCAAGGCTGACTTGCAGATGGGGATGGGTCAATACCTATTATTACCATATGACTGGGGGAATAACCATCTATTCACCAGCTATTTTAGAATACCTAGGGTACCAGGGTTTTGACCCATAACCAGATGTGTTTTGACATCAGATGCAAAGATGAAAGTGAGGCCGCGTTTCAAGTGATGTCTTTTGATATTCAGGTAATATGAGAGCGAGACGCAGCATAGAGATGGGAGTCAATATAACTCTGTGCAGAGTAAATGTTATTCTTTCTGTGTGATCCTGTTGATTCGATGCCTTCGTATTTCTTTTTGTGTTTGTCCGTGACCGCAACAGTTTCGCGCTTGTGGGATGTTGAAACCTCCACTAGAGCATGTTGTGTTCTCACGAAGGTTTCAGGAACATGTCTACCTTATTTATTTTGAATATCTTGATGTGTCTGTGTAGGTTCTTTGAGAAGATGCTGCAAAAAGGAAAGTCCTTTTTTGCATTGTTATGTTCATCAACCAAGGTCCAACAGTTTTGACAAATCTGTCTCGTGCATGTCTCAAGGGATATGCATTTCGAAGACAACATCATGGCTTGGCAGAAGGATCACGTCAGTGCTGAGCAACTGAAAAAATCTCCCCGCTATACGCCGCATGTTCATCATCGCCTGTGATGCGTCGGGGTGCGCGTCGGGCCGTGGGCAAATCGTTTACAAGATGGTGCATTCAGAATGCCATTGATGGGTTATTATAGGGAATTATACTAGTGGGGTCATTGTTTTTTTTTCTATGGGCCCACAGTAGGGAAACCTATCAACCAGCTAGTATAATGAGACGGGGAAATGGGGAATTTTTAATGGTTCATATGGTGCATGAAAAAAAAGGCAGAAGGCCTGTGAGGATTTTGGGGACAAACAATCACAGCTTTGAGGTACAAGCGTTACCGTGCAATCGCGACCATCTTCGCCGCTCCACAGGTGGGCTAAGAGTTTTTCAGTGAGTTCGTTTCAATTTTAATAAGGATACTGTATTTATTCGAAGAGGGGACCCCCTAACCAACGGCTGACTTGGTCATCCTGGCGAAACGATGTGAAGCTGACAACGATTCCACCAATTTCTGCTGGCTGAAATCCCACTTGCTTTATCATGGTATTGGCAGGGACTGGAATCGCCAATCACATAAAACTTCACAGTTAACACGTCACAGCTGTTTTCTCCCGAAATGTGGTCACACTTGGGGTTCTTACGGTAATAGTTAAGGCCTGGTGTTATTCGAGGTGGTTTCATACGTGCGCGCCGTTTTTGATGACCTGTACAGCATAAAAGCTCCTTCATCTTCCGTTTTTGACGGAAGTCTCGCAGGAAACGGTGGCTCGGAAACCTCTCGCGCAACCTTCTCGTCACTTTGGGCGTGTCGGATCGCTCTCGTTGTGGCACAGTGCGAATTTTGAGAGCGCTCGCACAATCTTCACGGCACGGCCTGTCAGATCGCTCTCGCTTTGGCGCGGTGCGAATTTTGAGATCCCTCGCGCAACCTTCTCGGCGCTTTGGGCGTGTCAGATCGCTCTCGTTGTGGCGCGGTGCTCATTTTTGTGGTCAAGGATATCTTGTGCAGAGATCTTGACAAGGAGGTCCTTACAAGAGAGCTTGCGCAGAGATCTTGCCACGGAGACCTCTTATAAAGATCTTGTACAGAGAGCTCTTGTAGAGATCTTGTACAGAGACATCGCATAGAGATCTGTTGAGATCTTGCCGAGGGAGCTCTCATAGAGAGCTTGCAAAGCGATCTCATCAAGAGATCTTGTGCCAAGACACCTCTTATAGGGAGCTTGTACAGAGCTGTTATAGGGAGCTTGTGCAGAGATCTTGCCAAGACACCTCTTATAGAGATCTTGCACAGAGACATTGCATAGAGATCTGTGATCTGTTGAAATCTTGCCTAGAGAGGTCTTATAGAGAGCTTGCGCAGAGATCTCTGAAACAGATCTTGCCAAGAGACCTCTTGTAGAGATCTTGTACGGAGACATTGCATAGAGATCTGTTGAGATCTTGCCAAGAGGTCCCTTACAGAGATCTTGCCAAGAGAGCTCTTATAGACAGCCTCCACAGAGGTCTCATAAAGAGATCTTGCCAAGAGACCTCTTATATAGATCTGTTGCAGAGATCTAGCCAAGAGGTCTCTTATAGAGATCTCGCCAACAGAGCTCTTATAAAGACCTTGTCCAGAGATCTTGCCAGGAGACCTCTTGTAGAGATGTTGCACAGGGAGTTGGTGAAGAGGGCAGATATCTTGCTCAGAGATCTGTTATAGAGAGCTTGAACAGAGGTCTTACTTTGAGATCTCTCACAGAGATGGTCTGTGGAGATTTCTCATAGACACCTTGATCAGATACCCGTGCAAGGGCATCTTGCACAGCAGCTTCTACAGAGAACCTGCCAAGGAGATCTTGCGCACGATCTTCTACAGAGATCTTCACAGAGGGAACTTGCAGAATCTAACCTGCTATCTCTTCTTCCAAAGACCACCTTGACTGAACCCCATGCTGTATAATCCTTGCTACCTTCCCTTTAGAATCCTAACTGCACACTGCTTTGGGGTTCCTTGCCGGGATAGCTTGGAAACAGTTTGCCGTGGTTCAATTCCCCCCTGGGACATCGGCGTCGTATCGTCGCAATCATCATCACCACCACCACCATCATCATCACCAGCACCATCAACATCATCATCATCATCATCACCATCACCATCATCAAACTTACTCTCCTCCTCGTACCTCTCAATTCCCCACTCACCGCTCTTTCACCATGCCTGAAACATTTCTCCCTTTACCTTGCCAGCAAGTTTTTGCCCCTTACCCCTTGGCCTCAAATTGTTTCCTTGAATATACCATGAATGGGCTGTAAAGTTTATCCTCCAATGGTCGGTTTATAATTTGGGTTTTCCACATTAGATCCAATTAGCATCCAATGAGCTCCCATTAAGATCTCATTAAACTTCCATTCAATGCCACTCAAATGGTAGGTTTCTTATTGGGTTTACCACATCAGCAAGGAACAAACTACAGTGATATGGATTTAGACTGGCTCTTGAAGTTGGACCTTCCAAATTGGCAAATCTGAAGTTCCCTAAACCCAACAATCGGCTTAATTTGACTGCCATTCAAGTGAACAGTGCCCCAGGAAACTCCGAAAATTTTGTTTTTGTTGGGTTTTCACTGTTTTCACACAGATTTCCAGGGCATTTTCCAAAAACATTTTTTCACATCACAAACATCCAGGATGGAACTTCGTTGGTCACATCCCCAAACACCAGCTACATTCTATGGATCCATTATCAATAAGTGATAGACAGAAGGGGGCCCAATTATTGGTCATTTTACCTCTATATTAAATGTCAACCCTGGATTAATAACCCCTAGGCTGTTTAATTGGGAAATTACCATTTAAGCATCAAATCATGACTATTGGGGCAATACCCCCACGGGTTGACATTACCCAAGTTACCCCCCAAACGTACCTGGGGTGTTTGGAGCAACCATGGTTTGGTAGCTGAGTGGGATCATGATATCCAGGTTGGTTCTGCCATGAAGATCCATGAACCAATGCCACCATCCATTTGGATTCACGACGAAAATTGAGGATGGATGGGGATGGTTTATTGCTTGACTAACATTAGAATCATGAAGTAGAAAATGAAGGTGTACTCTTAGACGACTGCTCGATGACTCGATGATTGCTTGGCGCAGATGTCTAGCTTGAAAACTAGAGGTTGACAGGTTGCCCTCTGAATGGTCCGATAACATCCACAATATTGGTGCAATCTCTGCAGGAATGGTCATCGAGTCATCCAGATCCTGCTGAGCCTCTGCTCATCCAGGGCTGCGGTGAGGCCGACCGGTTCCAGACTTGGAAAACTCCAGGACGACTCTGAAAAAAAAATTCCCAATTGATGTGTAGCTAGCTCGACCCGTGTCGAAGTGCTGCGAAGTGCATGAGTCTTGTGCAGTCAAAACTATGTTTGTGCGGCTGTGTTTCGATGATTTTCGCAGATTCAGATCAACCATGGCAATGTAAATCCTTGAAACCCTCGCCGCCCTATTGGTCCAGCTGTTGCCAGGCGACATAAAAAATGTGTTTTTTTTCCAGGACATTTTCTGGTGAAATCACGTGAGATCATGGTGAAATGGCTGAAATTGGCATAGATGGGCCGAAATCTTAATGGCTCTTGAGATTTTTCATGGCATGAAATATGTGAATTCATGAAATTGACATCAGGATCTCATTTTCTTGACATGGCAACCATAGCGGCTATAGCGTGACATTGGACTGGACGAAACAACATTTTGTATTTTGATTCACGTCGAACACATAAAACTTCACCGTTGCACACATCAAACCCTGGGTCGTTTTGTGGAACCATGGATGAATCAGCTTTGTTAGCGCTTGAAAACCGATTGTCATGCTTGGAGGCCTTCTGGAAACTGTTTTGCTTGTGACAGCACTGCGCTTCAAATTTGGATTGAACAATATTGAGCACATGTGTGTATATATATATATACACCACAATACACCATATTTAAAACATTTCTTTGATTTTGCAATAGTTCGAAACAATCTAACCCTACAACATTCTGTGGTATTCAAGGACAAAGATGAACAAGCATGTGCGGCTGTTTGGTCAGTTTCTATTATGATTGGGAAAATCGAAAATCAATGAACATCAATGAACACCAATATCGAAAAAAATGGGTTCACCATTTTCGGAACTCCCCATTTTAGTGGCCTCATCATGTGGATATCCATGAGAATCCCAAGGGATTTTGTGAGGCCAGTTCTGGAAAGCTCATTTGCTGGCGAGTGACTGAGGACGGCTGAAGTGTGACACTTGAAAAATAGTTTATATATATATATATGTGGTTAATTAATCATCATCTATGGTTAACAGTGGTTAATGATGGTTAATAATGGATAATGATGGTTAAGAATTGTTACTTGGTGGCTCATCCCACTTAATAACTAGGTTATAAGCCTACTTACATATAAGTGGATTAACCCTACTTATCTCACTAATAAAAACCAAGGGTATAACAGTATAACCTATTTCGTACGTGGGATGAGCCACCAAGTACCAGTGACATTTAAGGTGGAAACCGTATTTCTGGCCATATCCCCTGAGACATCATGTTTCAGACCTTATTTTTGGGTTTGTTTTTGATCATTATGTTTTTTTTTAAAAGTTTATTTTTTCTTATTTTTTTAAGCCATAAGACTCATAGAAGGAGAAGACTCATAGCTTGTTTTTTTAAACCATGTTTTTTTTGAACTTGAACATCATTTCATCATGCCAGTGTTCCCATTGATGATTTGAACATCCCACAGGATGGAACCCCCTAGCGCTAGCGGTGCTAAGCGTGCGTTCAGTTGAGATATGGATCAGTGGCTGAATTCTATGGGAATTCTATGGTTTATGGCGTTTTCATGGGGGTTATTTGTACCAACATTCACATCTCTTTATGGGGCCACCATCCTGCAGATCATCTATACCATTTCAAGGCGAACGATCCCCAATTTTACCATATTTTTTAAAAAACCATTCCCAGTCATGGGTGGTGTATGACATTGTTTCACCCTCTGGTAAACAAACATAGCTATGGACAATCAATGACAATCTTCATTTTTATTAAATTTTATTTTGTAAATCAACTATAACTGGCAATTTCAATAGCAAACTGTTAGTTTACCAGAGGGTACCCACATTGAAAAATCTTTCTCTGACCATGGATTGATTGGATACTTCGCTTCAAACGGCCAGGCGGGTGAAGCATGCATTGTTCATGTTTCAATAAACAGGTTACAGGATGGGCCCCCCTCAGATAGCGTTCAGTTGAGACATTTCTGTGGCTGAATTCTATGGAATTCTTTGGTTTATGGCAGATATAGCATGATATACTGTAACGAACTGGTTAATGGGGGTTATAAACCAAGATTCACATCACTGGGGGGCACCATCCTGTATATATGAATGTAGTAAACCCAATGCCATAAACCATCCCCAAGTCATCAGTTCCCACACTATTCTCACATAGAAATACAGCCTGTTTGGCTGGGTTCACCACATTCGTTCCATCACATAAACAGCCGCCCGCAACATTTCTTAAGGCTTCACAATGAAGCGATAGAAGACGGAACTCATTTTTTTTGGGGTGTTTCTGTCATTAGGACGTATTATAACTCAACACTTTTAACTTATAAATACTTAATGTGGGAAACCCTGGCTGCCATAAACGTATGGCAAACGTAACACCCATAATGGTGTGGTGAGGGCTGCGCATGGTTTATGGCCAGGATCCTACATTGCTTATAACTCTTCCTTTCCCGCCGGAAAATAGTTGCAAGTGGACCTGCTCACCGACCATTTATTCTTTGTGGCTGTAGCAAGCTCCAAAAACCGAGTTGGACAGCTGGATGAACACATCATCTACCCTCTGGTTATTTAACATAGCCATGGAAAATGGCCCATTTATAGATGGTTTACCTTGGTTTACCTATTAAAACTTGTGATTTTCCATGGCAAACTGTTAGTCATAAGCAGATGGTTTGGCCTTTTTGGCCTCAAGTTGGCGACGTTTCAAGAATTTCAGTCGGTCGACGAAGTTGAGTGAATCACTGCAGGAGATCAACGATTTCCGTTTTTTTTCATGGTTGGATTTCGTTTTTGTCTCATGGTTGAGAGATTTTCGTGATGATATGGATTTTCCATGACGATGAAACACAAAAGTAAAAGGGATGGATCTATCATGAAAATTGCTAGCCTGAATTCGAGTCAATGATTGAGCTTTGAGATCTAACATTATATTCCCATATAGTATAGGCCTATTGCGAAATGAGTTCTCTCCCATGAAACATTCGGATGGGATTTTTACATCAACATCATGATTGTCTCACTTAAGTTCCACATGGGCCTACGTCGTATCGACATATTCACGGTGGTCTAGGGCCTACCTAATCTGGGTTTGTCTGAAAATAGTGTATCCCTACACCCAATGGTTAATGATCATTATCCCTACTAAATGGCTATAATTGAAGGTATAACGGTATACCCCATTTTCAGACATACCCATCTGTGTCCAGGACATTGAGGCTTTGAGCCGGAGGTTGGATGCTTTGGAACGCTTCTGCTGCCCTGTGCTTGGAGAGGATGGGCTCCAGGAGCGCTGGGGCGCCGCCGAGCACGGCCGAGGTTTGCAAGGTTTGGGGAGTCTACGAAGCACATGGGATGATCATTGGTAATCATAATCCGTTGGGAATTACCCGGCCTGGTAAACAGCAACAGTTTGCGAACTGGAAAATGGCCCAGTCAAAATAGTGGATATACCCAAACATGGTGATTTTCCATAGCAAACTGTTAAGTTTACCAGAGGGTACCATGAACCAACCAGTTTTTGATGGAATGAGGGTTTTTGAACTTTGCTCAGAGCATACTAGTTGATTTCTGTTGGATGGGCTTTAACCCAAACATAACTAGGGGAGCCCTTCCTGTTAAGGACATATTCTTGGGTTGCAGAATCTGGGACGATTCCAATGACCAGCTTGGCGCAGAATTTTCGGTGTAAACAAATTTTTCTGGGTGCATACATGTTTTGATTTTCCAGACATTCTTCAACGAGATTCGTTGAATTTGGCCATTTGGCTGGGGGATGGACCTATAGCCATGCCCAGTGGTTCCAAATAGGGTTTCTCCTGGTGACTAGAAGGGTCGACCCGGTCGCAGGCGCAGATCTATTCGGTGATGAAAGATGTGGCTCGCCCAGTCACAAGCAAATGGCTCCTGCTGGCAGGGGGATCTTCTCACCCCCCTTTATGTTTCAAAATGGCGCCCTCAAAATCGACCATTTAGTGGTCCATTATAAACTATAAGTAACTATAATTGTAGCAGCGATGCGCTGAAAAAAAATACCCCATCTTTCGATCAACCCCAGAATTTCTTCGATCAGGCTCTGTGCGATGGAGGCAGCATGGAGCAGACCCGAGATTGTTCAGGCTCCACAAGTGGCGTTGAGCGCTTGCGCAGATCCCCTGGAAGTGGTTCCAAAAATCTCGGAAGTTGGGGAATCTCTGGGATTTGGGACCTTCTAAAAGATTCTAAAGACCATAAAAGAAGAGCATGGCTCAGTTCATCTTCATAGGATTTTGGATCCTTAGTTTTTTTTTTAAATAGTTTAAGATCCTAAAAGATAGCCATTGATTGGCTCGCGTAGGTCTGAGGGCGAAAGCTGCCGTGGATCAGCTATGGGAGACGCATAGCTCAGAGGCTGGGAGTTTCGATCTCCGTCAGTGGAGATCGCAACATCGACCCATTCGACCTGGCCCAGATGAAGATGCTGAACCAGCACATGGCCGACATGCAAGGCTCCCTCCAAGTCTTTCTCTCAGTCGGCATTGAGATATGTTGAGATCATCAACCACATCTTTGCATTTTTTGAGCTCCAGACACTTGAAATCTCCAATCCCTCTTCGAAGATGTTTTTCAGGAGTTGAAGGATGCTATCGCAGAGGTGCATTGTGAAATCAGTGAGAACATGGTGAGTTTCTGGCAGATTTGGGAGTAGATGATCAGTAGATGATCAGTAGATGTCTTTTCGTGGCTCTTTTTTATGGGATAGAACATGATAATCACATGATATAAACATATCAAGATCACTTGGAATCACTTGGAATATTACCATGGAAATATCAACACGAATCAACGAGCCGCTGTGGAGCCATTTTTAGGTGGTCCCACGTCACAAGTTGGAGGAGCAACTTGCACACGCCTGCGCATCCGTCCGGGACGAGGTGTGTGTTTTCGAGTCCGATCTGGCAGTTTCTAATCGCAACATGGTTAGTGCATTTTTTCAATCTGGATATTTCTATACATTTCTATCAGTATGGCTGTGTTTAAATCAGGTTTGAATCAACCTTGCTGGTTGCAGTAGCTGACTGCTGTGTGGACCCGCCAGGCCTGTTCTCTTTGCGCGCAGCTCAGGCAAGGAATCCAGGGCTAAGAAGGTCAAGTTGCCCAGAAAAATCATGGGATGAGGAATTGCTGAACCACGAAAAATGGATCATTGATGATTGATGATGATTGATGATCATTGATTCTTGATGATTATTATATTGATGATTATTGATTATTGATTCTTGATGATTATTGTGTTATTCCATTTGTGGCTCGGCCCACCGTGAAAGACCCATCGAAGTCAATGGACAGAAAAAATTACCGCGATTACCAGCTGGATGATTACCAGAGATTCTTTTTTCATGATACCCTTTGGTTATGACTAACATAGCCATGGAAAATCACCATTTTTAATAGGTAAACCATCTATAAATGGGCCATTTTCCATGGCTATGTTAAATAACCAGAGGGTACACATATTTTTCTTACTGGTGCTTTAGTAGGGAATGGATGGGTTGCTGGGGGTTGCTGGGATGATGAAATTGATAGTTAGCCAGTGGATCATTCCCGAAAATTCCCTGCGTTTAGCACCAGTAAGTCTTGGCCTACAATACCAATGCGCTAAAAAAATGGGACACGGTTGGGAGTGCAGACAGCTAGTGAACTGGATAAAAATCATCCCATCGGATTGTACCCCTAAAAACATAAAAAAAACCATTGTAGAAACCACTACCAATCATTATTACTCATTGTAAAAAACCATTACGAAGCTACTATATCCCCATGATGTCCGAATAAATCGCATTTTTTGTCGTCATCCCCAAATAGATGGAACAGTAAATCATCATCAAAGGAGTACACATTGACTTTTCCATCAACAATGGGAAAGACCAAAAAAGTATATGCATATCAGTTATACCAGTTGTATCACCTACATTACAATTTTACAAGTATTATATCAGTTATATTACCATTTTACACGTATTATATAAGTTATATTACCATTTTACAAGTATTATCTCAGTTATATTACCATTTTACAAGTATTATCTCAGTTATATTACCATTTTACAAGTATTATATGAGTTATATTACCATTTTAAAAGTATTATATATGTCAGTTATATTACCATTTTACAAGTATTATATCAGTTATATTACCATTTTACACGTATTATATCAGTTATATTACCATTTTACACATATTATATCAGTTATATTACCATTTTACACATATTATATCAGTTATATTACCATTTTACAAGTATTATATTAGTTATATTACCATTTTACAAGTATTATATCAGTTATATTACCATTTTACACGTATTATCTCAGTTATATTACCATTTTACAAGTATTATATCAGTTATATTACCATTTTACACGTATTATCTCAGTTATATTACCATTTTACACGTATTATATCAGTTATATTACCATTTTACACGTATTATATCAGTTATATTACCATTTTACAAATATTATATCAGTTATATTACCATTTTACACGTATTATATCAGTTATATTACCATTTTACACGTATTATATCAGTTATATTACCATTTTACAAATATTATATCAGTTATATTACCATTTTACACGTATTATATCAGTTATATTACCATTTTACACGTATTATATCAGTTATATTACCATTTTACAAATATTATATCAGTTATATTACCATTTTACACGTATTATATTTTACAAGTATTATATCAGCAATATTACCATTTTACAAGTATTATATCAGCAATATTACCATTTTACAGGTATTATATCAGTTATATTACCATTTTACAAGTATTATATCAGTTATATTACCATTTTACAAGTATTATATCAGTTATATTGCCATTTTACACGTATTATATCGGTTATATTACCATTTTACACGTATTATATCAGTTATATTACCATTTTACACGTATTATATCAGTTATATTACCATTTTACACGTATTATATCAGTTATATTACCATTTTACACGTATTATATCAGTTATATTACCATTTTACACGTATTATATCAGTTATATTACCATTTTTCACGTATTATATCAGTTATATTACCATTTTTCACGTATTATATCAGCAATATTACCATTTTACAAGTATTCTATCAGTTATATTACCATTTTACAGGTATTATATCAGTTATATTACCATTTTACAGGTATTATATCAGTTATATTACCATTTTACAAGTATTATATCAGTTATATTACCATTTTCACGTATTATATCAGTTATATTACCATTTTCCAAGTATTATATCAGTTATATTACCATTTTACACGTATTATATCAGTTATATTACCATTTTACAAGTATTATATCAGTTATATTACCATTTTACACGTATTATATCAGTTATATTACCATTTTACAAGTATTATATCAGTTATATTACCATTTTACAAGTATTATATCAGTTATATTACCATTTTACAAGTATTATATAAGTTATATTACCATTTTACACGTATTATATCAGTTATATTACCATTTTACAGTATTATATCAGTTATATTACCATTTTACACGTATTATATCAGTTATATTACCATTTTACAAGTATTATATCAGTTATATTACCATTTTACAAGTATTATATCAGTTATATTACCATTTTACACGTATTATATCAGTTATATTACCATTTTACACGTATTATATCAGTTATATTACCATTTTACAAGTATTATATCAGTTATATTACCATTTTACAAGTATTATATCAGTTATATTACCATTTTACACGTATTATATCAGTTATATTACAATTTTACAAGTATTATATCAGTTATATTACCATTTTACACGTATTATATCAGTTATATTACCATTTTACAAGTATTATATCAGTTATATTACCATTTTACAAGTATTATATCAGTTATATTGCCATTTTACAAGGGAAACTGCACTGGATTCCAGGACAGAAATGCTTGATCGGGTCGCCACGTTGGAGACGTCGCAGGCAGGTCCTGGAAAAAACCGGCGCCATGTGGCTATGTATATACAGCCTAATATACATACACATAAGAAACTGGAATGTAATAGGTTATATTATGATATATTAGTATTATCATTTATATTGATTTATTGTAATATGTTTTATTTTGCTTTGATATATATGATATTGTATTGTATCGTATTTTCATAGAATGTTATGTTATACTGTATATATTATACATAAAACTGGGGTATGTTCCGCATCTGACTACTTTCGCAGATGCCTGGGATCTGCATCGCTCAAGAACTTTTATTTGGAACTTATCCTCGGATGTTTATTTGAACATCACTAAGGAAGGGTTTTCCTTCTATTACCCTCTGGTAAACGTTTACAGTTTGCGAACTGGAAAGATCCACCAACTATTCTAGCTGGGTAAATCAACTATTTCGACTGGGCAATGGCTTCAGAGGGTGGCAGCCCCGTGCGCCAAACTTCTGTCCGCAAGGCAATGGAATCACGGTTGTTGGAGGCTTGGAGTCACTGCGACCTCACTGGGAATCATGGTTAATAAGGGAAATCATCGCCAAATTGCCGCAAGATTCAGGTTAGTGAAATATTATAATTTACCCGGATATATATATATATATTCCCATATATATTCACATATTCCCATAATCATATTATATTATTCCCATTGTATCCATTTATAGAGCAAACACAACTATTACCAGGTCGTTATGATGGTTGATATGGTTAACAAATGGTTAATGATGGTTAATCATCTATGGTTTTCATAGTGGTTAATGATGGTGAATAATGGATAATGATGGTTAAGAATTGATACTTGGTGGCGAACTAACCCACGAATCGTACCCTCTGGTTATGACTAACAGCTCGCTATTGAAAATGGCCCAGTTGAAATAGTTGATTTACCAAAAATGGTGGTTTTCCAGTTCGCTATGTAAACGTTTACCAGAGGGTAGGTTATAACTTATAAGCCTAGTTATATATAAGTGGATTCACCGTACTGACCCCACGCGCACAAAAACCAAACATCTTTTTCCTACTTACCATTCAAAACCATTGAACACCTATGGCTTTCCGAATTCGGGAATGATTTTTTTTACTACCAGCGATGACTTGACATGAAGACCAAGAAAACCAAGAAAACCAAGCTTCTGATTCATAGCCAAAGTTGAATTAATATATAGTTAACCATCAACTCGATGACTCGAGCCAAAAGCCCAGCTGATATTAGTTACCAGGGCTACCAGCCAGATCCATGATTTTGGATGATTTTGAGCCTGCTGTTTCCGTTGTAGCCTCTGGTAATTTCACAGTTTGCTATTGAAGCCATGGCCCATAGAAAAGGTTGATTTATCGAACTTAAAGATGGTGATTTTCCAGTTCGCAAACTGTAAACGTTTACCAGAGGGTAACTTGATAATCTGATACTCATGCGAGAAACTTTTTGTGACGTGGTGAGGCACCCCACTGATTATGACTGTAGTTAGCGGCAATGTGAAGGGCGTTCTGCTGACTGTGATGATCATCTCGGTTGCGAAAGTTTTTTGTTTTTGAACATCAAGACGATGATCCAAAAACTGACCTGACGCTAGTCTGAACTTTTTCTAGCCGCGGGCGTTGATTGAAAAGCACAGAATTCTTGCTTCTTTTTGGTGGCTCATCCCACGAATCGTAAATTTAACTTATAACCCTAGTTATTTCAGTGGATTCAGCTTACTTATCTCACTGACAAAACCAGACATATAACCTACTTGGGATTCGCGGGTAGTTCGCCACCACGTATGATGTTCTATGTCCGCATTTGCTGCTCGTTGGTGCAGGCATTTCCACCATCCCCACAGGTGGGCCTGTGTGCTGAAATGTGAGCTGCATGTGGTGTCCAAATATTTTCGAAGACACAGATGATGTGAACATTGGTGATAAACACCAAGAACATGCAAGAACATATGATATTAATGGGTCAGTTTCAAAGATTTTGGTTTTATTCTAATGGGATTGTGACCCAGTTGATTTATACAGCGCAACCCCGAAATCCAGTGGTTCATCGTCATTTTCCTCATTGGAATTGGAGTTGCATTTTTTTTCTCGCTACGGTAAGCCCTGTTTTCAGACACAGCCAGAATATTTTACACATATATAATCATATATAATCATATGTAAATACGTATATATATATATATTACATATACATATATACGTATATATATATACGTATATATATATATACGTATATATATATATGTATATATATATATATATACGTATATATATATATATACATGCGTGCATGCATGCATGCATGCATGCAGACAGACAGACAGACATACATACATACATACATACATACATATATACATATATACATATATGTGTACCTTGACCCTCCAAAACCCATAAAATTCGTAGGGTGGCACTTAAAACCCAGGGTTTTAAAACGAAAGCCGGTGTTTCTCATTTCAACAAATTTCACCACCATGTCCCGAGATGCTTTGATTTTCTTAGTGCTCACCAGTTCCAAGGGGTTCCAACCCACGTTTTAAAACACGGGTTCACACGGGTTAAACACGGGTTGCACACGGGTTAGCAATACCCGGTGTTCCCAAAAAAAAACAGGGTTTTCACCAAAAACCCGAGGTTTCCGAGGTTTCCCCCAGAAAAACACGGTGTACACCTGAGATAAACACGGGTTACACACAGGTTGCAAACGAGGCTTGAATTCCGGACCCGTACTTTTGCAGATGTGTATGTAGATGTGAAGTCCTGACAAAGCAGGAGCTCTGTTGGAAGCAAACATGTTTTTTTTTTTGCAACAAACCCGAGGTCTTGAGCATGATCACGGCTAAACCCAGGGTTTTAGTTTGAACCCGACAAATTTGTAGGGTTTGGAAGCTAAGGGTATATATATACACATATTTACAAATATATAGATATGATTTTTATAAATATGATATATATATATATATATATTATACATTCTATATCTAAATATTAATGTGTATATTTATTTGTATATCTCTATACACACACCTCTATTGTCCATCACTGGCAAGCGGTCTCGCAGGCAGCGCCACAGCGTTCTGGTCCGAGGGGAGCGACCGTGGGACCCTGCGTGGCACGGCCCGAAGAGGCAACTTTGAAGGCTCGGACGTCGCCGATTTCGTTGGGATTTCCTGCAGCATGGGGCCCCGTAAACGATAGCGTTCAGTTGAGATATGGCTGTGGTTGAATTCTATGGTTTATGGTAGTTCTAACTATAGTATTCATGGGGTTTATAAACAAAGTCTTAACTGGGGGGCACCATCCTGTGGGCATATATATATATATAATTGGAAGAACCCACTGAACGAATCGGGGACTTACTAAGCAGTGTTACTAACCTACTAAGCGGGAGGATCCTCCAAATGGGAATCTCATCAACTACTGTAAGTTGGGTTATAATTGGGATAGAAGACACTTAATATGATGAAGGGGATGATGCTGGGATGGTCATTATTTTTTATTGGGACTTAACCATCAAGCAACAGGGATTTGTAAATGATTATCATGGGGATAGAGAGGGTTCATCATCAATGGGAGGAAACATAGGGGTCTGAGAAAACAAACCATGTTTCGTCCATGGCACAGATGAGCAGTGTTCTGTGAGACCCTGGTAGCAGTGCTCATCAATGTGGATTGACATTACACGATTTAACAAATTTAACCAGCATCTCTCTCTCTCTCTCAGTATATACAGAACTGGTTGGTGGTTTGGAACATGGCTTTTATTTTCCATTCAGTTGGGAATGTCATCATCCCAATTCACGTCCACTCCATCATATTTTTCAGAGGGGTTGGCGAAAAACCACCAACCATATATATATATATTATTATATTATAGTATTGTGGATTATAATATATCAACCACCAACCAGAGAAATGTGTTTTTGAAGTACCTGAAATCGGAAACAATCTGAGGAAACGATGCTTGTTTCGACACTGCTGAGATGGGTCATCATTTTGGGACATAGTAAACCTTCTAAATAGATAGAAAAGTTGGACACTTCGAATTTGGGGGAGTGATATACATATAATCCCAACTTTTTTTGGGATTTTCCAGCAAAGTGAAGTCCCATTGATATTTTCTTGATGGTTAAAGTCCCAATTATGTTTGCCAGCAAACCATATTTGATTGGAGGGTAACCAGCAAAAAACACAAATTTGCGCGCTGTCCAAGTTTGGCCTCGGACATGCTGCGCACACACACACACCCACATATTTATCCTTGATTTTCCGATGGTAAACCAATAATAAGGATGGTTTCCCCAATCAAAATCCGTCATTTTTACCAAGCGGGATGCGGGAATATGACTTGAGACAAACCTGACAATGATCCAAGGGGCACACATGAAAATTGCAAAACCAGAGTCACCAGAGACTCTGCTAAGCTTGGTGGTTATTCTGCTTGGCACAAAAAAACATCTTTTTTTTCCAGCTAATCATTGGAACATCCATCCGAGCAAATCCTGGGAACATGGCCGCCACAGGTCCGTCCTGCAGTGGGCAACGTCGCGACTTACAGCTTGCAGGAGCCCACCAATTTTTGGGTTTTTCATGGGCTAGAAACATCCACTAGGCCACGGGGATTTTCCATTGGGGATTTTCCATGGGAATATAGTAGGACAGGATGGGATACGATAGCGAAAATGTGGGGAAAATTGCCATGTTAAATTCGCGGAGGGCAGTCCAGTAGCCCCCTGGATTCGAGGTGAGCAAACACTTTGCGAAGTGGAAGCCATGGCCCATAGTTAAATAGTTGATTAATCCCCATTAAGAATGGTGATTTTCCATAGTTATCTTAGTTTACCAGAGGGTAAATTATAGGTGAACAGGAAACATGATGACAAATGCTTGGATTTGTACAAACGATGAGCTTCGGAATGTCATTTGAGTGACATTGTGCCGAGACTTTGACCAGGGGATGGATCAAAGACGACACGTCGCTTGTCTCAGGAGTCAACTGAGGAATTGAGAAAGTGCCTGAAGGATCTGAATGACGTTTCGCCGCGCGCTGCTTGCCCCGCTTGCCCCGTGGTCCAAAGCTTGCCCTGTGGTCCAAAGTAGATCACTTTGTTCATAACTTGGGGTCAAAACGGATTCAAGCGGCTTGGCATACGATTCACTGAAGTTCCAATCAAAGACACTGCTCTCCATGAAGTTTTTCGGAATGTTCACCGGAGTTTTGACCCTCCTTGGGGCGCTTCGATGGCGACCCTGCACCAGACCAGTTTGAACACTGATTGCTGAAGGTTGCTTTGGAGATCCCCAAAATACCAATGGTTTTGTTTGGCTCTTAGATCAGTAAACTTAGATTTCTGCGGATTTGATCTTCTGAGCCCTACACTGCAAAGAACAAACTGCGTGCATTGACTAAAACTAGCTGTTTGGCTGTGAGTTCTACAAGGTAGTTTTGGACAAACAAATCTCAAGCAATGGCTTCTCAGTCTCGTGTGCTGCCTGCCTTGGTGGTTGCGGCCTGCTGTGCGGCCCTGCTGCGCAGCTTCTTGGCCCCCAGCGCAGACACCTTTGTGGCACCTCAGCAGAGTGTGCACTTGGGCTGCAAGGCCTTGTCCAAAGGCGCATTGGCAGCAGGCGATGTGCCAGCCATCGTGAACACTGTGCCCGCTCGTCCCGGAGTGCCAGCCCACTTCAAGGTGACCCTCGAGACCCCTGATGGCACGCAGTCCTTCGAGTGCCCTGAGGACGTGTACATCCTGGATCAGGCTGAGGAGGAAGGCTTGGAATTGCCCTACTCCTGCCGTGCTGGATCTTGCTCCAGCTGCGCTGGCAAGGTGCTTGAGGGCAGCATTGACCAGAGCGACCAGGCGTTCTTGGATGACGACCAGATGGGCGAGGGATTCTGCCTCACCTGCGTCACCTATGCCACCTCTGATGTGACCATCAAGACCCACTGTGAGGATGAGCTTTGAAGTGGCAGCTTCGCGGTATAGATTTCTCTTAAGTTACGTAGATTTTCGGTGAATTTTCAGTCTTTGGCTGTGTAACTCTGGCCTCAAGCCAAGTGCCTACATTACAGTTTGACAGCCAATCAAACTCTGCAGCCTCTGCTAACGCTTCTAAGTGTCGCATGCTTGAAAATTATACGTCAGACTTGCAGGAATGGAGATTTGCTGGGGAGAGCGAGAGAGAGAGAGAGATAGAGAGAGAGAGAGAGAGCAGTTTTTTTTGGTGAGAACAACTGGGAAGAGTCAATGTGTTAGACTTGTTGAGCAAGTGATAGTGCAACCTCACACGTGGTTGTGTGAGCATTGAGATATATTGAGATCATCGTGGTGGATTTGCATGACAAGTTGTATTTGCCTACATGTCAGTGTGAAGTATGTAGCTGTTCTCGTTATTCTTTTTCATGGAGGAAAAAGCGTAGAGTTAATTGCTTGGACACACTTTTATCAGTCCCAAATCAGTCCTTTGTTGGATGCCACTTGAAGTTGCGTCATATTGGTTATCAAGTCTAGTGCTTTTCACTTGGCAAGACTGAGAATCTGTCTCACAGACACACACAGAAATGTGTATTTCTCAATCAGGAGATTGCTGCATTTCTGAAATCTGAGTATTTGATGAAAGACTTTCCCAGTCTGATTGAACATGTGCGAACGAGCTGTTTGGCTGTGAGGTCTACAAGTCTACAAGGTAGTTTTGGACAAACAAATCTCAAGCAATGGCTTCTCAGTCTCGTGTGCTGCCTGTCTTGGTGGTTGCGGCCTGCTGTGCGGCCCTGCTGCGCAGCTTCTTGGCCCCCAGCGCAGACACCTTTGTGGCACCTCAGCAGAGTGTGCACTTGGGCTGCAAGGCCTTGTCCAAAGGCGCATTGGCAGCAGGCGATGTGCCAGCCATCGTGAACACTGTGCCCGCTTGTCCCGGAGTGCCAGCCCACTTCAAGGTGACCCTCGAGACCCCTGATGGCACGCAGTCCTTCGAGTGCCCTGAGGACGTGTACATCCTGGATCAGGCTGAGGAGGAAGGCTTGGAATTGCCCTACTCCTGCCGTGCTGGATCTTGCTCCAGCTGCGCTGGCAAGGTGCTTGAGGGCAGCATTGACCAGAGCGACCAGGCGTTCTTGGATGACGACCAGATGGGCGAGGGATTCTGCCTCACCTGCGTCACCTATGCCACCTCTGATGTGACCATCAAGACCCACTGTGAGGATGAGCTTTGAAGTGGCAGCTTCGCGGTATAGATTTCTCTTAAGTTACGTAGATTTTCGGTGAATTTTCAGTCTTTGGCTGTGTAACTCTGGCCTCAAGCCAAGTGCCTACATTGCAGTTTGACAGCCAATCAAACTCTGCAGCCTCTGCTAACGCTTCTAAGTGTCGCATGCTTGAAAATGATGCGTCAGACTTGTATGAATTAAGATTTTCTTGGAGAGGGCGAGAGAGAGAAAGAGAGAGAGAGAGAGAGAGACACAGAGAGAAAGAGAGAGAGAGAGAGAGAGAAGAGAGAGAGAGGGAGAGAGAGAGAGAGAAGAGAGAGGGAAGGAGACAGCGAGCAGTTTTTTTGTGAGGCAGCTCAAATGGTAGCAACTTTAGGGTCGGGAATGGTACAGAACAACTGGGAAGAGTCAATGTGTTAGACTTGTTAAACAGGTGGTAGTGCAACTTCAGCTGTTTGTGTGAGCATTGAGATATATTGAGATATATTGAGGTATATAATGGTGGTGGATTTGCATGACAAGTTGTATTTGCCTACATGTCAGTGCGGAGTATGTATGTTTTGGGCGATCATGCGCTTTTCATTTGGCAAGACTGACGAATCTGTCCCACAGACATGCACAGCAATGTGTATTTCTCAATCAGGAGATTGCTGCATTTCTGAAATCTCATGAGTATTTGGTGAAAGACTTTCCCAGTCTGATTGAACATGTGCGAACTAGCTGTTTGGCTGTGAGGTCTACAAGTCTACAAGGTAGTTTTGGACAAACAAATCTCAAGCAATGGCTTCTCAGTCTCGTGTGCTGCCTGTCTTGGTGGTTGCGGCCTGCTGTGCGGCCCTGCTGCGCAGCTTCTTGGCCCCCAGCGCAGACACCTTTGTGGCACCTCAGCAGAGTGTGCACTTGGGCTGCAAGGCCTTGTCCAAAGGCGCATTGGCAGCAGGCGATGTGCCAGCCATCGTGAACACTGTGCCCGCTCGTCCCGGAGTGCCAGCCCACTTCAAGGTGACCCTCGAGACCCCTGATGGCACGCAGTCCTTCGAGTGCCCTGAGGACGTGTACATCCTGGATCAGGCTGAGGAGGAAGGCTTGGAATTGCCCTACTCCTGCCGTGCTGGATCTTGCTCCAGCTGCGCTGGCAAGGTGCTTGAGGGCAGCATTGACCAGAGCGACCAGGCGTTCTTGGATGACGACCAGATGGGCGAGGGATTCTGCCTCACCTGCGTCACCTATGCCACCTCTGATGTGACCATCAAGACCCACTGTGAGGATGAGCTTTGAAGCGGCAGCTTCGCGGTATAGATTTCTCTTAAGTTACGTAGATTTTCGGTGAATTTTCAGTCTTTGGCTGTGTAACTCTGGCCTCAAGCCAAGTGCCTACATTACAGTTTGACAGCCAATCAAACTCTGCAGCCTCTGCTAACGCTTCTAAGTGTCGCATGCTTGAAAATTATACGTCAGACTTGCAGGAATGGAGATTTGCTGGGGAGAGCGAGAGACAGAGAGAGAGAGAGAGAGAGAAACGATCGTTTTTTTTTTTTGTCAGGCAGCTCTGGCAAATGGTATAAAACACCTGGGAAACGTCAATATGTCAATGTGTTAGACTTGTGATGCAGGTGGCACTTCAACCTCAGCCGGTTATGTGAGCATTGAGATATATTGAGATAATCGTGGTGGATTTGCATGGCAAGTTGTATTTGCATGTATTTGCCTACATGTCAGTGTGGAGTATGTATGTTTTGGGCGATCATGCGCTTTTCATTTGGCAAGACTGAAGAATCTGTCCTACAGACACGCACAGCAATGTGTATTTCTCAATCAGGAGATCGCTGCATTTCTGAAATCTCATGAGTATTTGGTGAAAGACTTTCCCAGTCTGATTGAACATGTGCGAACTAGCTGTTTGGCTGTGAGGTCTACAAGGTAGTTTTGGACAAACAAATCTCAAGCAATGGCTTCTCAGTCTCGTGTGCTGCCTGTCTTGGTGGTTGCGGCCTGCTGTGCGGCCCTGCTGCGCAGCTTCTTGGCCCCCAGCGCAGACACCTTTGTGGCACCTCAGCAGAGTGTGCACTTGGGCTGCAAGGCCTTGTCCAAAGGCGCATTGGCAGCAGGCGATGTGCCAGCCATCGTGAACACTGTGCCCGCTTGTCCCGGAGTGCCAGCCCACTTCAAGGTGACCCTCGAGACCCCTGATGGCACGCAGTCCTTCGAGTGCCCTGAGGACGTGTACATCCTGGATCAGGCTGAGGAGGAAGGCTTGGAATTGCCCTACTCCTGCCGTGCTGGATCTTGCTCCAGCTGCGCTGGCAAGGTGCTTGAGGGCAGCATTGACCAGAGCGACCAGGCGTTCTTGGATGACGACCAGATGGGCGAGGGATTCTGCCTCACCTGCGTCACCTATGCCACCTCTGATGTGACCATCAAGACCCACTGTGAGGATGAGCTTTGAAGTGGCAGCTTCGCGGTATAGATTTCTCTTAAGCTACCTAGATTTTCGGTGAATTTTCAGTTTTTGGCTGTGCAATTCTGGCCTCAAGCCAAGTGCCTACATTGCAGTTTGACAGCCAATCAAACCCTGCAGCCTCTGCTAACGCTTCTAAGTGTCGCATGCTTGAAAATGATGCGTCGACTTGTATGAATTGAGATGTGCTTGGAGAGAGCGAGAAAGAGAGAGAGAGAGAGAGAGAGAGAGAGAAGAGAGAGAGAGAAGAGAGAGAGAAGAGAGAGAGAAGAGAGAGAGAAGAGAGAGAGAGAAGAGAGAGAGAAGAGAGAGAGAAGAGAGAGGGAGGGAGACAGCGAGCAGTTTTTTTGTGAAGCAGCTCAAAATGGTAGTAACTTTAGGGTCGCAAATTGTATAGAAAAACTGGGAAGAGTCAATGTGTTAGACTTGTGATGCAGGTGGCACTTCAACCTCAGCTGGTTGTGTGAGCATTGAGATATATTGAGGTATATAATGGTGGTTGATTTGCATGACAAGTTGTATTTGCCTACATGTCAGTGTGGAGTATGTATGTTTTGGGCGATCATGCGCTTTTCATTTGGCAAGACTGACGAATCTGTCCCACAGACATGCACAGCAATGTGTATTTCTCAATCAGGAGATTGCTGCATTTCTGAAATCTCATGAGTATTTGATGAAAGACTTTCCCAGTCTGATTGAACATGTGCGAACTAGCTGTTTGGCTGTGAGGTCTACAAGGTAGTTTTGGACAAACAAATCTCAAGCAATGGCTTCTCAGTCTCGTGTGCTGCCTGTCTTGGTGGTTGCGGCCTGCTGTGCGGCCCTGCTGCGCAGCTTCTTGGCCCCCGGCGCAGACACCTTTGTGGCACCTCAGCAGAGTGTCCACTTGGGCTGCAAGGCCTTGTCCAAAGGCGCATTGGCAGCAGGCGATGTGCCAGCCATCGTGAACACTGTGCCCGCTCGCCCCGGAGTGCCAGCCCACTTCAAGGTGACCCTCGAGACCCCTGATGGCACGCAGTCCTTCGAGTGCCCTGAGGACGTGTACATCCTGGATCAGGCTGAGGAGGAAGGCTTGGAGTTGCCCTACTCCTGCCGTGCTGGATCTTGCTCCAGCTGCGCTGGCAAGGTGCTTGAAGGCAGCATTGACCAGAGCGACCAGGCGTTCTTGGATGACGACCAGATGGGCGAGGGATTCTGCCTCACCTGCGTCACCTATGCCACCTCTGATGTGACCATCAAGACCCACTGTGAGGATGAGCTTTGAAGTGGCAGTTCGATTATGACAGTCTCACCACACGAGTTTTCCTCTGGGTTTCTTCACCATGGATTTCTGGCCTAACGCCAAGAGCCAGGAGTACAGTCTGACAAAATGACCACTATGCAGTGTGAATCTCTTGCCGGCATTTTCAACGCCGAAACAAATTGAGCGCGCGGTGCAGCTTACTGTACTGAAAGTAGCCTACTGAAAGTGAGAAAGGGAGTTGTTTGTGATTTTGCCCCATTTTCCCACAGTTGACTTTTTGCGAGGTCATTGATTTTCCTGCTTAAAGCCTTGTCCATGCGGTCTCAGAAACGTTTTTGTGGAAGAGACACCTTTAAGTCTTCGATTGTTGGCATTCGTGTGGACGGTGTGTGAAGTGAAGCAAGACTGCAGAGAATTTTGGCTGTGAGGTCTACAAGGTAGTCTTGGACAAACAAATCTCAAGCAATGGCTTCTCAGTCTCGTGTGCTGCCTTTCTTGGTGGTTGCGGCCTGCTGTGCGGCCCTGCTGCGCAGCTTCTTGGCCCCCAGCGCAGACACCTTTGTGGCACCTCAGCAGAGTGTGCACTTGGGCTGCAAGGCCTTGTCCAAAGGCGCATTGGCAGCAGGCGATGTGCCAGCCATCGTGAACACTGTGCCCGCTCGTCCCGGAGTGCCAGCCCACTTCAAGGTGACCCTCGAGACCCCTGATGGCACGCAGTCCTTCGAGTGCCCTGAGGACGTGTACATCCTGGATCAGGCTGAGGAGGAAGGCTTGGAATTGCCCTACTCCTGCCGTGCTGGATCTTGCTCCAGCTGCGCTGGCAAGGTGCTTGAGGGCAGCATTGACCAGAGCGACCAGGCGTTCTTGGATGACGACCAGATGGGCGAGGGATTCTGCCTCACCTGCGTCACCTATGCCACCTCTGATGTGACCATCAAGACCCACTGTGAGGATGAGCTTTGAAGTGGCAGTTCGACTATGGCAGTCTCACCACACGAGTTTTCCTCCGGGTTTTCTTCACCATGAATTTCTGGCCTAACGCCAAGAGCCAGGAGTACAGTTTGACAAAATGACCACTATGCAGTGTGAATGTCTTGCTGGCATTTTCAACGCCTGAAAAGTTTTAGCTTGTAGTGCAACTTACTGAAAGTAGTTGAAAGTAATCTGTTCCCCCTAATACTACCCCCTCCCCAAATAATAAACACCTCAGGTAGTTTTGTTATTAGGGGTATTTAATTATTCGGGTGCGAAGCTTCCCCCTAATACTAAATTAAAAACATTTAAAAACCCTAATATAAAAAACATTTTTTCTATTTCAAAATCGATTAGATTTCCTTTTAAAATCTAATTAACATATTGCCAGAAATTGGATTTCGAAGCTTTCCCCTAATATTAAATTAAACACCTACTTTTGTTTCTACCTTAAAAGACGGACCCTAATAAAAAACACCCCAGGGTTTACTAGTTTTTATTATTAGGGGGTGAAACCCTGAAATTGTAGCTTCATTTTTAAATTGTTTTCTAAAGGATATCAATAAAAAATCAAATTGGCCAACCTCAAATTTTCCAAAAATGGAGACGGACCCTAGTTTTTTTTTTATTTGGGGGGTTAAGGAATAGAGGGAAGGGATTAACCTACTGAAAGTGAGAAAGGAGTTGTTTGTGACTATGCACCATGTTCCCACAGTTGACTTTTTGCGAGGTCATTGATTTTCCTGCCTAAAGCCTTGTCCATGCGGTCTCAGAAACGTTTTTTTTAACAGTGGAAGACGTGGAAGAGACACCTTTAAGTCTTCGATTGTTGGCATTCGTGTGGATGGTGTGTGAAGTGAAGCAAGACTGCAGAGAATTTTGGCTGTGAGGTCTACAAGGTAGTTTTGGACAAACAAATCTCAAGCAATGGCTTCTCAGTCTCGTGTGCTGCCTGTCTTGGTGGTTGCGGCCTGCTGTGCGGCCCTGCTGCGCAGCTTCTTGGCCCCCAGCACAGACACCTTTGTGGCACCTCAGCAGAGTGTGCACTTGGGCTGCAAGGCCTTGTCCAAAGGCGCACTGGCAGCAGGCGATGTGCCAGCCATCGTGAACACTGTGCCCGCTCGTCCCGGAGTGCCAGCCCACTTCAAGGTGACCCTTGAGACCCCTGATGGTACGCAGTCCTTCGAGTGCCCTGAGGACGTGTACATCCTGGATCAGGCTGAGGAGGAAGGCTTGGAATTGCCCTACTCCTGCCGTGCTGGATCTTGCTCCAGCTGCGCTGGCAAGGTGCTTGAGGGCAGCATTGACCAGAGCGACCAGGCGTTCTTGGATGACGACCAGATGGGCGAGGGATTCTGCCTCACCTGCGTCACCTATGCCACCTCTGATGTGACCATCAAGACCCACTGTGAGGATGAGCTTTGAAGTGGCAGTTCGCTAGGCAGTCTCACCACACGCATTTCCTCCGGGTTTTCTTCACCATGGAGTTTCTGGCCTAACGCAAAGCCAGGAGTACATCTGACAAAATGACACACTATGCAGGTGAGATGCTCTTGCTGGCGTTTTCAACGCCGAAACAATAATGAGCGTGCGGGGCAGCCTTACGGTACTGAAAGGAGCCTACTGAAAGTGAGAAGGGATTGGGTTTGTTATTTTGCCATTTTTCCCCACGTCGACTTTTTGCGAGTTCATTGATTTTTCCTGCCTAGAAAAAAAAAAAAAAAAAAAAAAAAAAAAAAAAAAAAATAAAAAAAACAAGGAAAAAAAAAAAAAAAGAAAAAAAAAAAAAAAAACAAACAAAAAAAAAAAACAAAAAACAAAGAAAAGAAAACCAACAAAAAAAAAAAAAAAGCCTTGTCCATGCGGTCTCAGAAACGTTTTTTTAAACAGTGGAAGACGTGGAAGAGACACCTTTAAGTCTCCGATTGTTGGCATTCGTGTGGACGGTGTGTGAAGTGAAGCAAGACTGCAGAGAATTTTGGCTGTGAGGTCTACAAGGTAGTTTTGGACAAACAAATCTCAAGCAATGGCTTCTCAGTCTCGTGTGCTGCCTGTCTTGGTGGTTGCGGCCTGCTGTGCGGCCCTGCTGCGCAGCTTCTTGGCCCCCAGCACAGACACCTTTGTGGCACCTCAGCAGAGTGTGCACTTGGGCTGCAAGGCCTTGTCCAAAGGCGCACTGGCAGCAGGCGATGTGCCAGCCATCGTGAACACTGTGCCCGCTCGTCCCGGAGTGCCAGCCCACTTCAAGGTGACCCTTGAGACCCCTGATGGTACGCAGTCCTTCGAGTGCCCTGAGGACGTGTACATCCTGGATCAGGCTGAGGAGGAAGGCTTGGAATTGCCCTACTCCTGCCGTGCTGGATCTTGCTCCAGCTGCGCTGGCAAGGTGCTTGAGGGCAGCATTGACCAGAGCGACCAGGCGTTCTTGGATGACGACCAGATGGGCGAGGGATTCTGCCTCACCTGCGTCACCTATGCCACCTCTGATGTGACCATCAAGACCCACTGTGAGGATGAGCTTTGAAGTGGCAGTTCGATTATGACAGTCTCACCACACGAGTTTTCCTCTGGGTTTCTTCACCATGGATTTCTGGCCTAACGCCAAGAGCCAGGAGTACAGTCTGACAAAATGACCACTATGCAGTGTGAATCTCTTGCCGGCATTTTCAACGCCGAAACAAATTGAGCGCGCGGTGCAGCTTACTGTACTGAAAGTAGCCTACTGAAAGTGAGAAAGGGAGTTGTTTGTGATTTTGCCCCATTTTCCCACAGTTGACTTTTTGCGAGGTCATTGATTTTCCTGCTTAAAGCCTTGTCCATGCGGTCTCAGAAACGTTTTTGTGGAAGAGACACCTTTAAGTCTTCGATTGTTGGCATTCGTGTGGACGGTGTGTGAAGTGAAGCAAGACTGCAGAGAATTTTGGCTGTGAGGTCTACAAGGTAGTCTTGGACAAACAAATCTCAAGCAATGGCTTCTCAGTCTCGTGTGCTGCCTTTCTTGGTGGTTGCGGCCTGCTGTGCGGCCCTGCTGCGCAGCTTCTTGGCCCCCAGCGCAGACACCTTTGTGGCACCTCAGCAGAGTGTGCACTTGGGCTGCAAGGCCTTGTCCAAAGGCGCATTGGCAGCAGGCGATGTGCCAGCCATCGTGAACACTGTGCCCGCTCGTCCCGGAGTGCCAGCCCACTTCAAGGTGACCCTCGAGACCCCTGATGGCACGCAGTCCTTCGAGTGCCCTGAGGACGTGTACATCCTGGATCAGGCTGAGGAGGAAGGCTTGGAATTGCCCTACTCCTGCCGTGCTGGATCTTGCTCCAGCTGCGCTGGCAAGGTGCTTGAGGGCAGCATTGACCAGAGTGACCAGGCGTTCTTGGATGACGACCAGATGGGCGAGGGATTCTGCCTCACCTGCGTCACCTATGCCACCTCTGATGTGACCATCAAGACCCACTGTGAGGATGAGCTTTGAAGTGGCAGTTCGACTATGGCAGTCTCACCACACGAGTTTTCCTCTGGGTTTCTTCACCATGGATTTCTGGCCTAACGCCAAGAGCCAGGAGTACCGTTTGACAAAATGACCACTATGCAGTGTGAATGTCTTGCTGACATTTTCAATGCCTGGAAAGTTTGAGTGTAGGCTTGGAGCAGAATTCTTAGTGGTAGTGAATGGCGTGAGCAGTCAACAGAATCAATTTGATTATTTTTTCGGGTTTATAAGGGATCATTACAATCCATTTTTTCTTGCAGATCTAAGAGAAAACATCAATCCATCATCATTCATGTCAGCTGTGACTTTTGCGGCCGTCCAGCTCAGATTGGGTTTCAAATCGACCGATGAATCCAAGAAGTACTTTCATTTTTTAAACACATATTAATATCCACAATGTTTTCACTAATCTCCACTAATATTCCAACAAGCATTCCACTAATATCCACTCATCAGCAACTGGAGCATTCTTACAGCTCAGATTCCAAAAATGAGCATTGACAGGCATTGACACAGGAAGGTTTTCATCCACGTAAACTCGTGTCTGGCTGCGTTTCAACTTTTCGGTCATGGTCACGTCGATGGGGATGGATTGAAGCCAAAGTTGTCCTGCAATTCTTGTGACTCATGGGTGGTTCCGTGAAGCCCCCCCAAAAAATAATGCTTGGTGCTGACTGGAACAGAATATCTGCTTGGTGTTTATTGGGCAGGGATTATTCATGGTTAATACTGGTTAATGGTGAATTATTAGTAACTGGTTGGTGGTGACTGGAACCATGGAATTTTATGACTTTCCAGAAACAGTTGGGAATGGAATGTCATCCCAACTGACGAACTCACTCCATCATTTTTCAGAGGGGTTGGCGAAAAACCACCAACCAGATGGTGATTAACCCAATTGGATTCGGCCCAAGCCTAAGACGGAGCCAAGGGGGCCAAGGCTGAGAGGCCAAGGTGTCCCCTAGATGTCCAAAAAATGGACCCAAGGGGCAAGTTGAAACATCACTTTTCTGAGATCGTGGTGAAACTGTGGTTGGCCCCTCAAAAAGGCGATAGAACATGAGTATACAGTATATATATATATACAATTTATTTACAGTGTGTGTATATATATATATATAATATTATGTTAATATATGTTGATACACACACACATATATATACACACATATACATATATATATATGGTTGACTCTGTAGTTGTAGTTTTTGTATGTCGTTGTAGCAACAATTCGTGTCTTGGTATCGCGAGCCATTGGAGAACTTCGTCCATGATCCTCATGGAAAAAGCAGTGTAGTTTTCTTTCATCAGGACTCGATTAGAAATAGTGTTGGCATACTAATATGATAGTTATCACTACTATAATAGTAATATGATATATGATAGTAATATGATAGTCATCCAACTGTATATCATCATTTATATGATCATGATACAATACAGTTGGATAAATAGTGATAGTTATAATAGTAATTATAGTGATAGCTATCACACATAAAATAAACACATATAAATAATAGTGATAGTTATCATCCAACTATAGTATGATTATCATCCAACTAGTATTTCTATAAACCAATGATAAACCAGTTTGGATCATGAAGACATTAGAATACCAGTAGTACCGCACAAGGCGGTGGCAGAAGTTTCAAAAATAGGAAACCTATAGGAGAGGTTGGTTGTTGTGACTCAGGGATGGCAGAGCGAAGCCGCTGATGGACCGAAAGGTGCTTGAGGTCTCCTCTCTTTCTCTTTATTTCTCTCTTTTTCTCTCTGTTTCTCTATCTTTCTCTGATTATCTACCGACCTACCTACTGATCTATCTGTCTACAAATCTATCTGTCTGTCTGTCTCTCTATCTATCTATCTACCTATCTATCTCCCTATCTATCTATCTATCTATCTATCTGTCTATCTATCTATCTATCTGTCTATCTGTCTATGTAACTATCTATCTATCTATCTATCTATCTATCTATATATCTATCTATCTATCTATCTCCCTATCTATCTATCTATCTACCTATCTATCTATCTACCTATCTATCTATCTCTCTATCTCTCTATCGATCCATCTATCTATCTATCTATCTATCTGTCTGTCTGTCTGTCTGTCTGTCTGTGTCTCTATCTATCTCCCTATCTATCTATCTATCTACCTATCTGTCCATCTATCTATGTATCTATCTATCTGTCTATCTAGCTATCTAGCTATCTATCTATCTATCTATCTGTCTATCTATCTATCTGTCTATCTATCGATCTATCGATCTATCGATCTATCGATCTATCGATCTATCGATCTATCTATCTACCTATCTATCTATCTATCTATCTGTCAAGCAATCTATATATCTATCTATCTATCCAACTAGCTATCTATCTATCTATCTACCTACCTACCTAATCAATCAATCTATCTATCTATCTATCTATCTCTCTCATCTGCCCAGCTGGCTCTGCGCCCGCCGTTTCAGCGAGCCTACCTTTACGCGCATCTGCATCTTCTTTCTGCTGACTCTTTCGCTTCTATTCTTCTCTCTTCTAATCTTTCTCTTCTCTCTGCCTCTGCCCTGCTTTCCTTTTTATCTGTCCATAGTTGGTGAAGTTTGACTTCTAAACTTCCTTCGATTATTTATCGCAAATTAATTTTTGTGGTAAAACAATGATAACTTGATGGCAGAAGTGAAGTCAATGCCCACACTCAACAGACGTTCGACTGTGGTGCGCTCTTGGCTCTTGATGTTAATGAGAAGATCCTCTTACACGGCACAGCTTGAGACAACGCCAGTTCCATCGTTCGGGAGGCCTTCGACCATCGAACTTGCGAGAAGTTTGGCAATTGGCAATTGGCACTTCTGATTGCACATGTGGCGCTGGGGGATTCCTACATGGTTCATCTGGCGCCTATGATTCTATTCTTGTAGAGCCTGGCTTGATCAACAGCCATCGCAACGAGCAGCAAATTCATCAATAATTAGTGTAGTGTGATGTCATTAAATGTCCTTGGTACTCTGTTTAATAGTGTAATGTGTGGTATCATGTGGTGTTGTAGTGTAATTAGTCTTGCATCGTCTTGCGTACTATGTTTGCATTTTTAGCAGTAGTGGTCGTGTAGTGCAGTGGTCCTTGTGCTTGTAGATCTAGTTGTCTATCCATCTATCTGTCCGTCTGCAAGCTTGAAAATGAAGCTATTCGACGAGACTTCCTCAATTTTTTTACTTGACAGCTTGAGACACGAATCAAGTCTGCGAGACTTAAGTTGACACCATCAAGGACGAACGACTTCTGCGAGACTTCCTCCAAAAATGGAAAGATCAGTGCTGCGCTCACACCCTCGTGCCAATTCGTTTTGCGATTTTTCTGCTCCACCTATCTAAAGTACTGCGCCTGCCACGAAAACTGGCTGCCAGGTCATACGAAATGCTGCACCTATCATGCAAAATCATCTTAGCAAACCTACACTTCTGATAATCCAAAATGTAACCCCTCTCAGGAAATGAGCGCCCTGACCTCCCAACCTCTCTCATGAACATGTCTTCTGTACTACGCCTGCCACGGAAAATGCGTCTTTGCAGATCATCTTCAAATGTCGTGCCATCTTTCGTCGAAATGCTGCAAAACCCTCATGTTTTGCTCACTTTTGACAAGATCCACAATCTCATGCGCTTGCCACGCGAAACGACATCTGAGCCTCCAACAGTGGTCCGAACCCCTAGTGTTTTTAACATTTTGACTTCAAAATGTGCTTCGCGCCACAACGACGTGCACTTTTTCGAGATCTGAACTTCCAAAAGTGGTCCGAACCCCTAGTGTTTTTAACATTTTGACTTCCAAATGTGCCTCGCGCCACAACGGCGTGCACTTTTTCGACATCTCAACTTCCAAAAGTCGTCCGACACTGAGGTGTTTTGCACATTTTGACTTCCAAATGTGCTTCGCGCCACAACGGCGTGCACTTTTTTCGACATCTCAACTTCCAAAAGTGGTCCGAAGCTGGTGTGTTTTGTGCATTTTGACTTCCAAATGTGCTTCGCGCCACAACGGCGTGCACTTTTTCGACATCTCAACTTCCAAAAGTGGTCCGAAGCTGGTGTGTTTTGTGCATTTTGACTTCAAAATGTGCTTCGCGCCACAGCGGCGTGCACTTTTTCGACATCTCAACTGCCAAAAGTGGTCCGGCGCTGAGGTGTTTTGTACATTTTGACTTGGAAATGTGCTTCGCGCCACAACGGCGTGCAATTTTTCATCTCTCATCTCCCCAGATGGCTCCGCACCCGCCGCTTTAGCGAGCCTACTTTTCGACCCTCCGGAGCCCCAAATCATAGGAAAAACACAGTGTTTCGCGACTTTCCCACCTTTTCGCGCATCTGCATCTTCTTTCTTCTGACTCTTTCTCTTCTACTCTTCTTTCTTTTAATCTTTCTTTTCTCTCTGCCTCTTCCCTGCTCTGCTTTTCATCTGTCCATATTGTCGGAAGTTTGACTTCTAAACTTCCTTCGACTATATTCAATCATCCAATTATCAGAATCATAATTTTATCATTGACAAATTCGAATATTATACTACTAACGGATTGAGTTAATACCCTCTGTTTGAAGTCATCATAATCCATCATTTCGATCTTCAAATATCTTCAAATACCCTCTGGTAATTTAACATAGGTATTGAACATGGCCCATTGAAATAGTGGATTTACTCAGCTAGAAAATGGTGGATCTTTCCATAGTTATGTAAACGTTTACCAGAGGGTATCTTCAATATCATCCAACATTCCCAAGATTCCCCAAGATTCTCTGCTCCATCCGCCAGCTGCTCCATGTTTTGACGAAAAATCCCCAAGGTTGCACTGCTGTCCATGCTCCCGGAAAACCCGGCCCGACACACGGTGCGAGTTGCTGGGCTGTTCATTTTTACAGGGGCCCACAACGTGGCTGAATTAGCTATGTTTTTTCCCCAACAGCGTAAGCTGATGGGGTCTTCAGCCCAGAATAGCTCCGGTGTGCACTGGTGCAGGTGCCGGGTCAGCTTCAACGAGGTTCCGGAGAAGGTTCCGAAGGTTCCAGAGAAGATCTGGGAGGCTTTGGTGCAGAGCCAGGTAACGTTCAAAACGGTTCCGGAGAAGGAGAAGGTCTGGGAGGCTTTGTTTCCGAGGAAGGTTCCGGAGAAGGTTCCGGAGAAGGTTCCGGAGAAGGTCTGGGAGGCTCTGGTGCTAAAGCCAGGTCAGGTTCAACATGGTTCCGGAGAAGGTTCCGGAGAAGGTTCCGGAGAAGGTTCCGGAGAAGGTTCCGGAGAAGGTTCTGGGAGGCTTTGGAGCGGGTTCTGGAGAAGGTTGCGGAGAAGGGGTGGGTGGCTTTGGTGCAGCCAGGTCAGGTTCAACAGGGTTCCGGAGAAGGCCTGGGAGGCTTTGCAAGGCAAGGTCAGGTTCAACAGGGTTCCGGAGAAGGTTCCGGAGAAAGCGTGGGAGGGTTTGGTGCAGAGCCAGGTTGGGTTTAACAGGGTTCCGGAGAAGGTTTCGGAGAAGGTTCCGGGAGGCTTTGGTGCAGAGCCAGGTCAGGTTCAACAGGGTTCCGGAGAATGTTCCGGGGAAGGTCTGGGAGGCTTTGGTGCAGAGCCAGGTCAGGTTCAACAGGATTTGTGTCCATTTAACTCACGGAAACATAGCTGAGGTGTTGCCAGCGCTTGGCTTGGCAGCACGCTTCCGAACATTTTGTAAAGATAAAACGTTGCGGCTGTTGGGGATACCACCGAAGCTTATTTTTTTGATGTTTACGAACTATTGCGGGGTTTGTAAACCAACGAACAGAACTAGGGGGTACCATCCTGTAGAGGGGTGAATGATCTTTAACTTTAACCAGTGAAATTTGGATACCATATGTTCAAATAAGCCCATGCTGCGCGGTTCTTCTCTATGACGCACATAAGCTCCGGCTATGGGGTGAACGCTTGCGAGTTTCTTTTTTCGCTGGTATTAGTATGGATTGGTTAGAAAAATTGAAGGGTTGATGCAAAGTCACTAACTTGCGGGTAAGGGTTGAATTATGAATGCTTATGTTTTGAACCACTTGACTCACTTGGTCCAGAATATGTTGGCCCTGTGACTGCTTCTAAACGTAGGCAATTTCACATTCATTTTCTCCACTCCATCACTCACAGAATCCCAGCAACCCCATTCCCTACGGTTTTTTAGCACCGTACGTTAATCCGTTGACACCGAGGCATGCATTCCAGTGTCGCTCGCCATGAGCATCACATTGGATGTGGCCGCTCGAGTCTTTGAGCGTTTTGGCGAGGTCCTTGAGCTCGATCTGCGACTCGATCGGCCTGGGAAACGATGTTTTTTTTGCCATCTGGGGCCTGGCGTTTTCCGGTTCAAATTTTTTGCTTAAACCAATCCAATGATAAATGATGCCGGTTAGGCTTAAAAAAGGCTAGGGGTTTCTGGATGAAATTTAGAAGTCAGGTGGCCTTCTGAGAAGTCGGGGTGTCACTATTTTTGCTATGCCGGGTATGCCCCCCTTGTGTGAGCGTCGGCCTGGCACGGATGGTGTGCTCTGGGAAGTCCTCGGAAACTGACCAACTGGGATTCCACTCTCAGGCAGAGCTGTCAGTTGGGCGAAGTCTATGTGACCTTCAGTGACGCCGCCGCTGCCAAGGAGCTGGTGAAGCACGCCCAGGACATGCTGAGAGTCATGGCTAATGGATGGTTAATGGATGGTTAATGATGGATACTGATTGATAAAAATGGTCAATAATGGCTAATGGTGAATGATGGTTTTCATGATGGTTAAGAGATGTTAAGAACTCTTACTTGGTGGCAAACTACCCACGAATCGTAAGTTATAAGCCTCGTTTTTTGTGGATTTTGACCCTGCTTATCCCACGAATCGGCGGGGACTGATATGATCAAAAATAGCACCCAAACAAAAGCATGGTATCCATGGTTCATTTGGGTCCCTTCTTGGCGGGGTTTAACATTGATGAAATAAAATGTCAAAACTAGAGGACAGCATACAAAAAACGCGTCTTTTTCTCTTGGGTTGACTACTTACTATGTGTTTTTCAGACATGGGGATGGTCCAGATTTTTACCAAGTGTGTATACATTGGGGTTGATCATTTGTAAACACCTTCATATTCACCATCTGGTAGTTTAACACAGCTATGGAAAATCACCAATTTGAATAGGTAAAGAATCTCTACATGGGACATCTTCATCCATTCTTCATAGCGATGTCAAATTTCCACAGTTCTTTTTGTCTCATCTACCCTCCGGCAATCAAACAGGGCGCTTTTCAACGGACATCCCTGAAGTAAATGGAGGTTTCGTTCGCTGGGAAAATCCCATCGTTGATTTTCCCACGCAAGCTACGCCGCTATGTTCGATTGTTTCTGGGTGGAGATCACGACTGAGAAGGAACTCAAAGAACCATCCGCTGGATGATGGTTTTTTTCCATGTTTTTCCTAAGTCAGTCATTTTTGGATATATTACTAATAGCTGGATGCTCAAAATTTTTCATGGAAAATCCCAAAAATGGATGATCACCGGGAGGTTTCCCACAAAACGGAAAGCCCTGCTTGGGGTTTCCAGGTTTCACCATCTGAAGATTTCTAGGTCAGTGAATATCTTCCTGGCGGCGCAAGCGGTGGAATCCCCGTGGCTTTTTTGTTACTGGCCGGTTACCGCCCCCCTTGCACCACACATCTCTTCAAACATAGTGGATTAGTCCTCAATACGCCTTAGTCATCACCATTTCAGGAGTAGAAGCTAGTAGAATCAACCATCAACTTAGCATCAAACCACCTTACATCCAAGTGACATCAACCCTTTGTTGCTTCAAAAAATCCCGATCTCAGTGGTGACGTGGATGGTTGGACCATGGGCCTCCGAAGCTGTGAACCTTGGTTGATATTCCTGAAGTTGTCACAGTTGGCCAAGTGAATCTGGATGTCAAACAGATTCAAACAACAAAGACTCTTTGGTGGTACACCCCTTAGACTTCCTGGTCTATTTTCAGGATTACACCATTTTGGGGCTCATCTTGACCAATACCAATGCAGCATTTTCATGGGGATATAACACCTCAAAGGGGAAGCAACACCACTGGGTCCACTCAAAAAAAATCAAATTACCCGCAACACGTTTTCCAACATGTTCATCATTTTTCAACACGCACTTCCCCTCCGAAAGACAATTCCCTTTCGAGAAAACAACCAACAGTTCAACATTCAACGTAGTTCAACTGTAGAATTTCCTAAAAGATAAAGCTTCATAATTTCACACTCCTTTCCCGGGATTTCGCCAACTTCCTAACTTTTTTTGGGACGCCACCAGGAGATTGTGAAGGAACTGGCTTCAAGTTGTTCGACCTCGGATCTCGCAAGGTTCGGGCAGGGGTTGACAAAAATTCACCAATAAAAGATTGGGGATCAAAAAATGATGTGTACCTGGTTGGTGGTTTGGAAGATTTTTTATGACTTTCCATATATTGGGAATAATAATCCCATCTGACGAACTCATATTTTTCAGAGGGGTAGGTATACCACCAACCAGGTACACGTGCCAAAATTTCACCAAACATGATAAATCCATATAGGGAATATCATGGGACATCATGGGATATCATGGTAAATCACCACGGTTTTTGTGACAAAAATGCGGTTGTCCAAAACCGGGGGATTCACAAAGTGGCAATTCATGGCGCCATTTCGGCAAAAGACACCAAATTGTGGTCAACTTTATAGAAACTATGCCCGGCGATGTGCAGAAAGTAAATGTTTACAAGCTATTTACACTCCCCCAAAATAACATGGAACTGCATGCTATTCCAGGTTGGTCCCCTAACATGAAGCTATGGTACGGTCTCTTTTGTGGACTTTGTTCCCCAGGAAATCATGCAACTAACTTTTTGAATAAAATCACTCCAAAACTAACATGGAACCCAAAGCAGGCCCAAACTGAACCCAAACTGCACCCTGAAACAGCCAACGTGGAATTTGAACAAGTTATCACACAGCGATCTGCAACCTTGAAGGGTGATTTGAAGTTTAACCTGGAACCCAAGTGGTTTTTAAGGTGTTCTTCTTGAAAAAAACATGTTAGTGTTCGGGCGACTTTACTTTTCACTTCGTATTGCGCTCACGGTATCATGCTTTGAACTTGGGTGGAGCCATCGCAATACCAGTTGACCATGGCACCCAACAAATTGTAAAAAATCAATTGAAAGTTTCCTATGTCTCCGGTAACTGAATGACTGATGACTCTGGGAACTGGATGGCCTTCCCGGAACTGTTGGTTACTAAACTTTTTACCTGCCAGGTCCAAGGGGTGCCCATTTAGGTTCCAAGTTGGGTTCCAGGTTGGTTTGTTTCGGGGGGGCTCGGCCTAAATGCAACTACATGTTATGCAAAAGAATTTTACCATGTTATCTTCAAAAAATCAACTAAATGCAGATATACAAAAGAAAAACAAATACAGACAATAAGAATCTATCGTCTGCATCGTTTTCTGTTTTTTTTTTTAACGGTGGGAGGACCTCCAGGCGCCAAAGCCACGGGGACACACAACGGCCGTTTTTTGCGAGTCCTTCGAGGCCGTGGGTGAGGTCCACTTCACCAGGGGTGACACGGGGTAACCACAAGGAGATAACCGGGGAAGGCCACAACGGGGTAACTCAACGGTATAGGTATACAACGGGAGGGAAACAACGAGAATTTGGCGGCTAACATGGAACTGTTGGTTGAGCACTGCTTGTGGGGTTCTATGTGTTAATATGAGAAGTAGCCAAAAAGTGCCGAAAATATCAAAATTCACCAGCACATACCAACACCAACATGGCACCTACCTGGCACTTATCCCGCTCATGAATTTTAACATGGGCGCACTAACATGAAACCCTTTTTTTTTGCACCACGTTGGTTTCCAGGAGAGTATCCTATACGCTTTTGACCTGACCCTATTCTGATCCTATCCTATCCTATCGTGTCATGTCTTTCGAATCTATCCATGAATCAATCAATCAACCACGCCACGAATCAATTAATAAACTCAACGAATCAATCGATCAATAAAAAACAAATCAATTCATCCATCAATCAATCAATCGATCTATTTATCTATCTATCTATCTATCTTTCTTTCTTTTTTTCTTTCTTTTGCTATCATTTTCTATCATGCTCTATCATGTTCTATCATATTCTATCATTTTAGATCTGTATTTCAGCTGATGTAAATATCCAATTAAAAAAACAGGATATACTAGGCGACCTAGCCATCATACACATCCTACAGTACTTTGATTAGTTGGTAACCAGCGCAAATTATTTTACTGCAGCAGCCCGTGTGGGGAGGGGACTTTACTAGGCTAACCCGCAGGAAATGAGTCGTTAAGATTCGTGTTTATCTGAGAATATGTACCTATTCCAGTAAACTAACATAACTATTGAAAATTGATAAAATTGCCATTTCGTTCGCTGACTTACCCAATTTCTAGAGATTCGGTCGAGACCTTCCACTTCGCAAAGTCTCTCTGTTTTTACCAGGGTTTACCAATGTTCGCCCCATGATTTCATGGCACTGACTGATTGGTGGTTTGGAACATGTTTCTTTTCCCCAATAATTAGTTGGGATGATGATCCAATCTGACTCTTTCATATTTTTTAGAGGGGTATATCGGTATACCACCAACCAGCTGACTTAACCTTGCTTCAAATCCAAATCTGAACTTTCTTGGGTCTTCGCGGATTTTTGGATGAGATATGTATATATATATATCTTTCTTGTGGTCAAACGGTCAAATCCGGGACTTGCTGGATGATAAACACGGGGTTCCTCCTGAAAAAACCCTTACGACCCATGAAAATAGGTCCACGCCCCCACCAAAATGGGTCTATTCGTCAATTTTTCGAGGTACTTGCCGGGTCAAAAGATGTCAAAAGTATGTTTCAATCTGATTTATCGCACAATTTGGCGTGTTTCAATCTTATCTCCAAACATGTCATTGATTTTTAAAAAATCCAATTGCTGGTACAGGATGGTGCCCCCCAGTGATGTGATTGTTGTTTTTTTTCAAGTTCATGATGCTAATATGATAGCTCATGAAAACTCTAGTACGTTATATCATGTTATATCTACCTAATCAGCCACAACCATCCATATCTCAAAATATCATCTGTATATATCATCGGCTAATCAGCCATCCTAATCAACCATACTTCAATCAGCCACTTCTCCATCCATATCTCAAGATATGGCTATGGCATCAGGTCAGAGCTGATGGCAGGCCAGGATCGCTCCACGATGGTTTCTGGGGGAAGCCCATGACTTAGGGTACCTCTAAATAGGTTCTGTATAAGTGGTTAGTAAGTCACTGGTTAGCAATTTATAGGAACATACTGTAACATACTCGTACCTGTTTTTCTTACTACGTAAGTTAGTTGGTGGTAAGTATAAGTAAATATGACTTAAGATAAGTTTAGTTATACATGGAATACAATGTATTACTTGTACATAATTACTGCTTAGCAAGTGGTTAGTATATCAGGAAACTTCGTCACTATAGTTACCCTCTGGTTATTTAACATAGCCATGGAAAATGGCCCATTTATAGATGGTTTACATATTAAAAATGGTGATTTTCCATGGCTATGTTCAATAACCAGAGGGTATATAGTTCAATGCTAGTTCACCCATTTAAATGGGATAAGCCCCAAAAAAAACGGGGTTTTACCGATCCGTGATCCTCCATAGGTGGGTCGTTCCGGAAAATGATCAGCAGCTGGGGATGAAGAACATCGAACTAGCTGGAAATGCCTTTTTCAAGGCATTGTTTGGAAAGGGTTACTGCAACACAAAAAAATAGATGTCAAAGATGCTAATTAGCCAAGCTTGAAAATGGAGCATCCCATTTTCAGACAAAGGCATATCCCATGTATAAAAGGGGCTCACAATACAACTGGGATGTCTCAAATTATATCCAACCCATTTTGTGTCGTAAACTGAATACTCAGCCAATTTTTTGGTTATGGTTTTAATACCCCCCAAATGGTAAAATTGAGTAGATCATTTTTGGGTTTACCACATTCATAATGGCTGAGGATGAAAGTAGTCTGACCCAGACCCGATTTATTGCAGGGTCGAGCTGTTAGTTAGTTCAAGCCCCCCCTGGATCTCAGTTGAAGTGCTGGATTATATCTCCCTGTTGGCACCGACTCCTGATGAGTTGCCAGCTCCCTTCTCTGCCACCCAGGAGCGGGAATTGGGTGGGGAAAAAGATGGCACATCTGCAGGAAATCTCCATGGTTGATGGGGAAAATCTATGGTTTCTGGCAGATCTTCGGGAAAAAACATCCAGGTAGGATTTTGAAAGGGATATTTGCTGCCCACATATGACAATTTTGGCTGGTCTTTTTGCGGGTCTGTGATCGAAAAAAGAGGCCACTGCATATTTGGATGCGCAACAAAACGGCAATAAATGATGTCCGAGAACATTTTCCAACGTTTGCTCCGTAATTTTACAGCTTTTATTTTGGGTATGGCTCAAAATTCTTGACCTTTCTTTGGGGATGCTTAGAAATACCCTCTGGTAAACAAACATAGCTATGGATAATGGACCGTTTATAGATGTTTTACCTATTAAAATGGTGATTTTCCATAGCTCTGTTAGTTTACCAGAGGGTACATATGACCAAGCGATTTTTGTCGCACTCCAAGTCATTGGAGTCCATGAAGTTTCCAAGAAATCCTCAAACTTTTATCCAACTTTCAGCAAGATGCCATTTTTTCTCGAAACATTGGTCATCAAAGCTGGAAAATCCATGAAACTTCTTCAAAACCTGAGTTTCCATGGACTTAAAACTTATAAAATCTTATTTAAAAACATACAAAACCCAAAAGTCACAAAGAAACCATGGACTTAAATCCTTAAAACTCATGTTTTTTCCCAATATATACTTCCAAGACTTCCAGTGAGGCTTCCCCACCATTTCCGAGTCGCGATGTCCCGATGTCCCCTCCTCGCTTCGTCGAGGGCCTCCACAAGGAGTTCTTGGAGACGATGCACTTCAGACCAGAACGAGTGGCAAATGGAGAAGACCCAAGGAGCGGCGGCTGTAGATACGTCGAAGGGAAAAAATCTTCATGGTTGGTAATTCAACATAGCGAACTGGAAAAACAACAGTGTGAATTGGTAAAATCAACGAACTAAATGGTTGTGTTCAATAGCTATGTGACAAATTACCAGAGGGTATATGGTTATATATAATTATATATATTATATATAATTATATATATATTATATAACCATTATTAACATTAACATCAGTATTAACCATTATATAATGCCCGTTCCCGTATTAGAAACATATCTATTGTTGGTTACCAGACCATTGGTCACGAGCTGGCAGCAGCAAAGTAAAGTCACAAAGTGAAGTGCCAGGTGATGACTTTCATCGATCCATTGGAGTTTAATCATCAAATAGTATAGGATATACTATGATCTAAATGATGATTGGTTGATTTTTTCAGTTCCGGGATTGTACTAAGCAAGATATACGAAGATTAATTGAGGAATATCACAATCAACGGGGAATCCCATTCTTGACCAGCCGTTGAATCGTGGACAAAAGTTGAGGTCACGACGACCCCCTGACAAAATAAGGGTCACTTAACCAGCTCAAAAGGGCCACTTGACGAAGAAGCGATTTAGGATGATTTAGGATGATTCAAGTGATGTAAGTATCGAAACTTGACATTTTTTTCCGCAATCGACGATGGATTTAAGGATGAATTTCAAGCATCCAGCACAACTGGATTTTTGCGCATCGAAAGCCGGGTAAGCATTGAAAACATGGTGTGTTTAATCACCATACATGGTGAGAATCAGCATCCATCGGGATTTAGCCATGAACAACCAGTGCATTTAACAATCGGACAAAACGCCTGTGTGGTGATACCAACCTCTATATGAAACAAGGGGTATAAACTAGCGATAACCGGATATTTTTTGCAGATATTATGGGGAGGTTTTTTCAGCATCCCAGGTTCAAAACGAGGCTTCACGGATTGGTAAATCATGCAGGGTTTCGCAACAGAACTGTGACGGCCGGAGATTTGACAAACTAGAATGTCTGAAGTCATTGGGTGCCTTTTTTTTTTGCATCCTGAATACTACAGTAGATGGACAAAATATGACAAAATATTCAAACCCTGCAACAGCCTGCAACATGCACTATGTTGAACCCCCGCACCCCCAAATCTCAATGTTTCAGCGCGCATGTTCCCAAAAGTGATGTTAGGGGTTTGATTTTTTTTCCTCCATTGGGGCTAACACACTTCAGGTTACATTAACATTGAACTTAAAGGGCGAGGGGGTTGTACCGGATAGAACCGGTTTGAATATTTGGTCCATCTACGGTAGGGAATGTACAGTGTAAGCAACAAATATGAGGAGCACTAAAAACAGACGTAATGTATATATGATGCTTGGACGTCTCGGATAGGCAACTCAACTAAGCAATGAGCAACATCAGTAGTTCCCAGGGCAGTGCATACTTACAGACCCATGTAAAACCATATGTTGTGTGGGAAAATTTGTTGCATAGGGCTTACATAGATCTTTCATATGTTTGTTAACTGCAATTCAGGTAACATTTGCAAAACAATTATCCCGGCAAGAGATACCAAACTGTGTGTAGTTAGGATTCTAAAGGGAGAAGTGGAAAGGACCTAAAATCATCAGTGTCAGTGGCTGCAAGCTAGCAGGACCAGAGCGACCCTAGTAGTGAAAAGAAGAGATACCAGGTCAGATTCTGCAAGTTCCCTTTGCGAAGATCACTGTAGAAGATCGTGCGCACGATGTCCTTGAGAGGTTCTCTGTAGAAGCTGCTCTGCAAGATCCCTGTGTAAGGCTACCTGTAGAAGGTGTCTGTAGGAGATCTCCACAGAAGATCCTTGTAAGGGATCTCAAAGTAAGATCTCTGTCCAAGCTATCGATAACTGATCTCAGAGGAAGACCTCTGCTCTCTTCACCAGGTATCTGTACAAGATCTCCAAAAGAGGTCTCTTGGCAAGATCTGTGCACAAGAGCTCTACAGAGGCCTCTTGGCAAGAACTCTGGACAAGATCAGAGGTCTCTAGGCAAGATCTCAACAGATCTCTATGCAATGTCTCTGTACAAGATCTCTTTCTGAAACCTGTGTACAAGCTCTCTAGAATAGTTTTCTTGGCAAGATTTATGTAAGAGACCTCTTGGCCAGATCTCTGCAAGAGATCTCTATGCAATGTCTCTGTACAAGATCTCCTACAGAGGTGTTCTGGCAAGATCTCTGCACAAGATCTCTATAAGAGGTCTCTTGGCAAGATTCTTGAAGAGATCTCTCCATAAGAGATCCCCACAGAAGATTTGTAAGGGACCTCAAAGTAAGATTGCTGTTCAAGCTATCTTAAAAGGATCTCCCAGGAAGACCTCTGCTCTCTTCACCAGGTCTCTGTACAGATCTCCATAAGAGGTCTCCTGCCAAGATCTTGTACAACATCTCTATAAGAGCTGTGTTGGCAAGATCTCTTTAAGAGGTCTCTTGGCAAGAGCTCTGGACAAGATCTCTGTAAGAGCTCTGTGGCAAGATCCCTGTAGGAGGTCTCTTGGCAAGATCTCTGAACAAGATCTCCAGAAAAGGTTTCTTGCCAAGATCTCTGTGCAAGCTCCCAGAAGAGGTGTCTTGGCAGTCGAAAGGCGGAAGGACATGTCACAAGAGCCAGTGTATACGGGAAAATGCAGGACCCCAATACCGCGACATCCGTTTTGTGCGAGCCTGCGCGTCGAAATGCACATGTTGCGTGGGAATTTACAGGGAAATAACCGGGGACAGCTCCGGGGACATGGTTTTGGGCGAGCCTGCAATCGAAATGCACATGGACATGTCAGAAGAGCAATGTTGTGTGGAAATTTAACGAGAAAATGGCCGAGGACACCTCCGGCGACATGGTTCTGTGCGAGCCTGCGCAGTCGAAATGCACATGAACATGTCACAAGAGCCATGTTGTGTGAAAATTTACAAGGAAAATGGCCGAGCACACCTCCGGGGACATCGTTTTGTGCGAGCCTGCGCAGTCGAAATGCACATGGACATTTCACAAGAGCCATTCTGTATGCAAATTTACAGGGAATTGGCCGGACACGGATGAAACCACCTCGACTGAACACCAGGCCCTATCCCTGACCGCAAGAACCCCTCAGTGTGGCCACACTGTTTGGGGAAAAAGATATTGGTTCAGGGATATGGTTTGCAATCAAAAAGTAAGTTTGAGTAATGAAGCGGGGCACCGCTGCATTTTATTACCGGCTTGACCGTGCCCTAGTGAATATGTGACGTCAGTGTGAGAATTCGGTCAGGACTTCGGTCGTTGTGAGTGGGCTGCCTCGAACATGCAGCTCCGAGCAATTCCTGCAAGCAATGAAAACACATCAGCTCAATACCAAATTGAGGCGCGCAGTGTGGTGCCTGAAACTGGGACTTGGATCATTTGTAAACATGACTTACAATATGTGTAAAAAATCTGTATATATATAATTAAACATGTGTAAACATTATATAACATATACTGCAGTATATGGCATATGGTATACTTGAATATAATATGATATGATATAATAACATATATAATAACATAGCAAAAATTTTTATATAACCTTAATAAAACACAATAAAAACAAAAACATTATAATATCAGACAATACAACATAAGAGAATATAATATAAGACAATATAATATATGAAAATAACACACAATATAATATACTTTTCTATATACTATATAATATATAGTTATAAAATATAATATATTTAATATGATATAATTTAAGATAATATAAAATAATATAAAAAATATAAAAATAAAATAATATAGTTATAATATAATATAATATAATATAATATAATATCATGTAATTATAGTATAATATAATATGATAGAGTATAATTTCAAATAATAAAATACAATACTTTAAAATATGATATAACAAGGCATAAAATGGGGTAATATAATACTACATTATATTACATTATCTTGCATTATGTTACATTACATTGTATTTTATTAAATTGCATTTTTTTGAATTACATTGTACGGTTAAAAAGTATATATATATATTGTGAGTTATTTTTTATTTTCTATTTGCATATCTCATGGCGGCCAAGAGAATATATACATACGCCGTCAGAATGCCCGTCTATGTACTCAGCGGGACATGGAACTTTGGATCGGCATGGTGGCATCGGCTCCATGTACTGTGGATGGTTGCGAAATCCTGCGTCCTGCGCCACCAAAAAGATGATTGAAACATGTTGAAACCCTATAATGAATGGGTGAAACCCTGTAATTAATGGGTGAAACCTTATAAACAATGGGTGAAACCCTGTAAATAATGGGATATATGGGATGTTTACCATCTATCAACTGGTGATTCGGATTTCCCAACTATCCACAGTAGTTGGATGATTTTCCCAGCGAACTGAACCTCCATAGCGGGCCGCTGATTTGTTTCGATGATTTACCTACTAAAAATCTTCATTTCCCATAACCATGTTGAATTGCCAGAAAAAGTGACATGTACGAGGATGTCCCAGCTAGCCATGTTTGATTACTGGACGGTACCAGCAGTTTGACATCCTAATTTTTTCATGGTTGGATTACCAGAGGGCAAATATCAGGAAACTATATCAAATTAGATACCATACAACGATTTTGCAATGAAGAACATGTTTTGTCCAAAGCATTTGAGGTTTCCTTGCAAAGTCAGCACCCTTCAGGGTATCAAATTTACTGTAGTTCTTGTCCTGGTGCGGTACATTGGTATTGGCCTACTTATCGCTAAGTACATAGACACACAGATCTGATATATGATGATACATGTACAGTGTATATATATATATATACATAATTACAAAGATGTGTTTTCATTAGACAACATTTTTTTGTTGCATATGTCTATTAATAACTAAATACATATATGTATACTGTATACATATACATTCATTCATTTACACATGCATGTTTATATAGATAACAAATGTATATATGTTTCTATGTACATATATATATATGATCCCGCCTTCCGACCGCAAGGTCCCCCCCCTTCTATTTGCAAGCTATTGGCAGCATTTCTGAGGTCCAGCCTCGTATTTGCTAGGTTTTTGCAGCGATTCTGACTACCAGCCTCGCATTTACTAGGTACATGCTACCTTTTAGGCGACCTACGTGCGAACACGCCCACACCAACGGGCGCAGCTGCTTTTGCTCGCAAAGAGTCTCGCGGTAAGCGGAGCTACGTTCGCTACTCCTAGCCAACCAAGTCGCGCAACCCTTGTGGCGCAACTTGAGCCAAAATAGAAGTGAAACAACTGTACAACATGCAACACGAAAAACTACGGGGCAGACCTAAGCTACATCTAATGGCATACCACACTCGCCCCTCAGCTTAGGCTGCCCGCGCTGATGCCGCGAATCGCAGGCACCAGCCGCGAGGCAGGGCACGTCCCTCGCCTCATTTATGCCGCGCCTTCGTGATCTTCGATCGTGATCCCTCCTTCATAGATTTCCTCGAAGGCGCGCAGCCACTTCTTGGCTGTTTCACTCTCCTGAGAGATCTCGAGCGCCACCCCAGCCTCATAGTTGGCCTTCGATGAGGTCGTAAGATTGCAGCTCCCCACGACCAACTGAACCGGAGAGCGCCGATCTTCCCGGTCGGTCTGCACATACGCAGACTTCCCGTGCTGTAGGCCGCGCAATTTGCGCCCCAGCCTCACGGACCTATTGTCCCGTTCATAGGCCTGACTGACATTGAGTCCTTCCGTCAGCCTGACTCGCACACCAGACGATCTCAGTTCCTTCAGCATCTGGAGCTGCGTCTTGGTCTTTCCAGCGGCTTGCGAGCGATCTGCGACGACCATCGTCAGGCAACCCCTCTCGGTTGCTTGTTTCAGGCTATTGATCACATCTGGCTGATCAAAAGAGTAAGCCCGAACCAGCACACGGCCGCCCTTCCCCACGGACTCCAAGACTTGGACGAGCCAGTCAAAGGTTTCAGCGTCACGCAGGAACTTGACCCTGCATCGGTCCATATCATCGCTCTCAGCCTTATCCTTCAAGGCCTTAGGTCGGGGAACGGCAACTGATCCAGCTTCAAGAGCTGTCGTTGGCTCATCCACGTTGCTCCCTCGACCGCTGTCCAAACTCAGGGACTCCTTGATGACCTTTCTTTTGAAGTCTTGGGCGTCCTCAATCGCATTTGTCTGCGGAGGAGCTTCTGTGCCCTTCAGGGTCTTCGCCTTTTCCACAAGCCCTTGGAAACAGCTCCCCAAGCCGAGACCCATGGACTTCCTTGGCCGATCCTCACTTCCGCCCATTGCCGCGATGCCACGAGCAGCAGCACTCGAGGATGACCCGGCGCCGACCATCTTCCGATGGGCTGCCACTGCGGACGCCACATGGTCGCACGTCCCAGAGGCCAAGTATTGGCGGCAAGCGCAACCAGAGCTGTTGCCACTGACTCGGACTCTATGATCTTTCTTCGTTCCTCTCACTTGCCAGGTCGAAGAGGTACCATCGAAGCTCAGCAGCCGGGGCTCCATAGAGTTGCCATTGGTCATATGGACCCAGGCATTTGCCATTTTTCGAGATACCCACCAACATGCCAAAACGGCAAGCACGACCTTTCCGATCCTAAAACCAGTTTCAACGAAGGATGCTACTTCCTCTCCACCTTCCGCGATCACCACTTGGAACGCTTCTGAACTGGTCTCCACAATTTCTTCTATCTCAATCTGAACCTTTCGCACAACCGGGGCCAAAAAGGCGGCTATGACCAACCCTAGCTTGTTGGCCGATAGCCCATTGCCATTGTCCGCATGGGCCTTCTTGTTGCGAGCCTTCCGCGACACAGACCAACCAGAGCGCCGGCGCTTCTTGGTCGATCTCTTCCTCCTGGTCGCGCGAGGGCTGCGAAACGCAAGCCCCGCCGCTGACCCAGCAGACCCGGCCCTCTCCCTTTTCTTATGGCCCTCGCTCTTGTGGCGCCTCCCGGCTCGCTTGCGGTGGCCGCGGAGTTTGAGCGCCTTCTTCTGAGCCAGAAACTCTTCGTTGGCCTTCCTCACGGCCTCCGACTCCTGGCGAACTTCCTCCTCCGAGGAATCCTCTTGAGAAGGACGGGGATAACTGCATTTATAGCACTTAAACCTGAAGGACAGGTTCCCTTTTCCGCAGTGATCACAGTCCCATGACTTCTCCTTAAGGATCTGTTCGATCTTGGTTACCCCCGCGTCTCTCTTGGCTTTCCTTTTCTCTGCTGCAGGCAATGCGGACTGAGCGGGGCGAGCCGACGCAAGATGCCGGCAATCGCGGTCGTATGTGCCAGTGCACTGCGACCCGCTGACCCAACCGACGCATTCATTAGCATCGGGAGGACTAACTGTCCCACAGAGCCTGCAAACCCAACTTCCTGCCTTGTAGGTGAGTTCACCCAATCCATCATCTATATTCCATGCGGCCCCGACAGCTAACCTTGGAGCCGCAGCAGCTGGTGCGGCTAGTCTGCGCTGAGCATCTCCCAGTTGGACTCCCTTCCGGTGGTCCTTTGCTCGGAGCCGCGACCTCAACTGCTTTTTGAGCTTCCGGACTGGTTCTTCGGCCCGGAGTCCCGCGGCAAACCGGCTATCGGCGTTAGGCACGGGTGCGCGCATTGGGCCCGAAGCTCTTGCCGCAGCAAGCCGTGCACTAGTTTCGGCAGAAGCCTCGGCAACGTCCCGGCCATAGTCTTGTGCCTCACCGGCTGCCTCATCTCTGCCTGATCTTTTGCGCACAGCCGCAGACACCGTCGCGCTACCGGCTATCACACGGAGGCGGCGTTGGAGCTCATCTTCTCCACCCACGGTCGGACGCTCCTGCTGCTTTTCGACCAAAGTGGTCAGTCCCCCGGCACTCCCGTACTGGTAGGTCAGTTCTGAAGTAGCAGCAGCAGCCAGAGTCGTCTCTATGAGCCGCTGGCCCGGATGCCGTCGGGGTTCGGCCCACACTTCGCGGAGCTCCTCAGCCGTCATCTCCCCGCGCAATTTATTCGCAGGTGTCTCATCCTTGTTCTCTGGGAGGACTCCGCGGCCAGATCGCGGAAACGCAGACCCGGCCCGCGGCAGGTCCCCCTCGCGGCTAGGTCGCGAAAGCGCCGACCCGGCCCGCGATGGCTCTTCTTCAACTTCGATTTCTTCCATAGAGCTACTGCTCGGGGCGGCCTCCTTTTTTGCGCCACTCTTCGGAGAGGCGACTTCCTTCTTTGCACTGGCAGGGGGCTCTTCTTCCACGGTGATCTCCTCATCAGTGCTACTGCTGGACGCCGTCGAGGTCTCCTGCTTTACTTCAGCAGTCTCCTGCTTTACTTCACAAGCAGATGACGACGCGGCCCCTTCTCCATCCGCTGGAGCGCTCCGCGCAGGACCACGTATGACCCTGATCGACAAGCTCGATTCAGAATCACTTGTGGGCAGCTCTGCAGGCGTGAACCCACGATCTCGTGTCCAGA